CAGTGGCCGCCTTACCCACCGTACCAACCACGCGGCAGAAGGTGTTCGCATACCACGCCACTAAACCCGATGGCTGACCATGCCAAGCCAGATTCTTCGTCATGAGCCAAACTAATTCTTGACCCTACCCCACCACTGGCAGGGCTGAGCGATACGACTCAGCCACGGCAACCTTTGGTGCAAACCACTCTTTAGTAGGCAGTCGGCATTTCCCTTCTTCTTTTCCATACCACTTGCCTTATTATCCGAGTCGCACGTCGCTCTTACTTACTTCTAGAGCTCATTACTGTATTACCCTGCCTAAATTACAGCTGGACATGTCCTACAACTACAACCAACCAGGCGGTTATCAGCAGCCGTATCCGGGCCGTAAGTTGAGGCCCTCTCTTCACAGCCCGGCGATCATTGCATCGTCCATGGCTTAAAACACTTGGCGCTGAAGCCTGATCTTGTACTAATATCTTACAGAAGCCCCGCCGCCACAAGGCTACGGTCAACATCAACAGTATCAACCACCTCCACAGCAAGGCTATCAACAACCGCCACCAATGCAGAACCAACAGTACGGAGGCTACCCGCCTCAACAAGGTTATGGTCAGCAACCACCGCAAGGTCAATATGGTGCGCCGCCGCCAAATCAGTACGGCGGTCCACCTCAGGGCCAGTATGGCGCTCCTCCCCCGCAACAGGGTTATGGCGCACCTGGGCAATATCAACAACAGCCACCTCCGGGTCAGTATGGACAGCAACCGCCTCCAGGACAGTATGGCGCGCCACCTCCAGGGCAATACGGCCAACAACCACCCCAAGGACAGTATCAACCGCCACCTGGACCTCCACCTGGCCAGTTTGGGCAGCAACCACCCCCAGGCCAATACGGCGCGCCTCCACCACAGGGTCAATTCGGTGCTCCACCTCCCCAAGGCCAGTTCGGTGCGCCAGGGGGTTTCGGCGGGCCACCAACTCAGGCTTCCCTCGGCTATGGCCCTATGCAGGTCGCCAACATCGACGTCAGCAAAGATGTTGAAGCTGTCCGTAAAGCAATGAAGGGATTCGGAACTGACGAAAAGGCGCTCATCGCGGTTTTGGCGAAGAGGGATCCTATCCAGGTCAACACTATTCGGGCGCAATACGACCAGCGCCTGATGCGAAACATGGTCCAAGATCTTGAGAAAGAGACCAGCGGCTATTTCGCGAGAGGACTTGTCGAAATTGCACGCGGACCTCTAGTATCCGACTGCTACAACCTCATGGAAGCGATGAAGGGCATGGGCACAAAGGAGGTCATCTTGGACGACATCCTTATCGGCCGAAGCAACGCCGACATCAACGCCATCAAGCAGAAGTACCAAGAACTATTCCAACGGCCACTACAGAAAGACCTCCAAGGCGACCTCAGTGCCGGAACCGAACAAATGTACGACATGATCATCTCGGCCCGCCGCGCAGAAGACTCATACCCGGTCAACCCACAAGAAATCGAGCAGGCTGTTACGGATCTTCAAGCCGGAATGGGTGGCTTTGCTAGCAAGAACGTCCCCCAAGTTTGCCAGATCCTCACCAGCAAAAACGACGCGCAACTCAAGGCCATGGCGAACTCTTACCAACAGCGCTTCCACAAGTCCCTCGACAGCGTGATCAAGTCTGCATTCTCAGGCCACATGGAAGATGCACTCCGCCTACTTATCCACCGTGCCACCAACCGACCCGAGGCTGAAGCCGTCCGTCTAGAGGAATCGATGGCTGGCCTAGGTACAAAGGACGAGATCCTCGTACAACGCGTCGTCCGCTGCCACTGGGACAAGAACTTTATGAACGCTGTCAGCAATGCGTACAAGCAGGTCTACAAGAAGGACTTGGTCAAGAGGATAGAAGGGGAGACGCGCGGCGACTACGAGAAGCTCATGGTTGCTTGTGTGAAGCCTTGAGATGTTGCAGATATACGTGGGAGCGTTGGGTCTGATTACATGATATCCTTTTCTTCTCTTTCTTGTTACTTCGGAGAGGGGATGGATGTCGCGAGTGGGTTTACACGTGGGCTTTCACTTCATGGGCCTGATAATGTGGAAAGATGAATAGATATATTTTCTAATGCACACGTTAAGCAGAGTATTACCCTATGACCTTCCGAGATAAAAACATTCCACTGCTATAGGTGCGCTGGGCAGCTGGTTCACGGACCAGAAGACGCGGGTTTTGACAAGTGCGGTGTTGGTGTAGTACGCGATGCTGGAAGCGAGGCGCTTGTGTGTAGGCAGTGGTGATTCTGGGAAGTGCCAGAGGTTATGGCTGGCTATCGCCGATTCAGAATCCTTTGTACATGTATCAACAAGAAGTCAGTTAATCCGGAAAGTAATGAGAATGGACCTTCCAGTGATCGCGAATGTTGTGATGCCCCTGCATAGTCAGCATGATAGCGCGAGTCACGATTGCGTCATACTAGCACCCTCAAACCAGCCACCTCGCGCATTAACAAAATCATCGCATGTAGATCGCAGACTCAAATTCTAACGACAATAGACCGCGCAATCAACTATAACCTTGCAAACATTCTCGACGCCATGGTACTTCTGGAGCGCATGCTTGTATTAACGTGATCGCGATTGCGATACGCGAGCAACAGCTAGCACGACTAATCCAGCTCATCAGATGCAAGACGGAAGGTCATAGTCATCCGTGACGCGAGATGTGTCTCTTCACCCGACCGGAACAGACCAGCATTGCATGTAGCCCATCCAGAACTTTGAGCGCCACTCCAACGGCACGGGCCTTAGTCTCGTTGTGCTTCCAGAGCATGTGCGCATTGATTTCAAGAGGGCAACCAAGGTACGGTTCACCTTGACTCACAGAACATTACCTAGACCCACACACAAAGATATTCGTCCGTCAAAACCACCAACATTCGCATTCGATATCCTCTCTTCATCTCAAACGGTTGACTGCGAGAATGAAGGTACCACTCGAAATACTCCAATGTATCTTGGAGCTAGCTTGCGCTTCCTACACCCGCGCCGAATTCTGGCAGTTGAGACTAACTAGCTGTACGCTGCTCAACCCCAGTCAATCTTCTCCTGTAACTAACATCCAATAGATCTATTCAACGAAGAAGTGCTTTCACTATTCATCACAGACGCCGTTTTCGAGTCACTGCGATATTATCTTATCGATGTCCATCGGAAACGTCTCTGGGGTGCCGTCCCAGCTGGTCTTCGCTATGCATACCTCCAACATCGCGTTAAGAAGCAAGGTGCCAAGCGCAGTTTGTTTGCACACCTTTTCATCCCTGTGTATGAGTCTCAGCTCAACAAGCTGGAGATATCGGAAAGAGACCGCGCGGCTAGACATGAGAAGTTGAACCGGTGGACCAGCTATTGCATGCACGAATACTGGGAGGAGACCTGGTTAGTCGCGTACTGGTCCTCTGCAGCGCCAACGAAGGTATTGCCATACTACGATAACTACAACATCAACGACCGCCCCGAGAAGCGCATCGAGAACGATCGCAAGTTCTTGGAAATACTTTGCGCTATCGACGCGGACGATAGAGGTGCAGTGCTGGAAGCATTCGCCGGCTTCCACAGCAGCGTGGACGATCTAAATTACTGCTTCGGTACCACGATCCTCGCTTTTGCAGCCAAACATGGAAGCCATGAGATGCTTACACTGCTACTCCGTTCAGTCAGACGCTTGACTTACAAACAGTTGTACAAGTACTTGTATATCGCCATCACAGAGGCCAGAAACCCGCATGCTACTATCGACGTCTTCCTTAACCACCTTGCCCAGCACTTCAAAGATGCAAAGGGCAACGTCTTCACAAGAACAGACGTAGCAAGACGCCTCCTCACCCAGAATCTCTTACTCGAAGCCTTGGCCAGATGGGATCTGTTAGTAGTCGACGCCATATGCAAATGGATGGACAGCGTTCCAAACTTTCACGGCAAACTCGAAATGTTCAAAGCGATCTTCGCCCGAGCTCTTCCCGATCAGACTCTATGCGCGTTGCTCCCCATGCTTGTGACACTGGCAACACGGAATGAGAAGATACCAGGACTCTTGGCCATGAGCCCCACGCACCACTTTGGTGCATCATACCAACAGCGTCTCCGAAGTAAGTTCACGGAGGTTTGTGATCAGCGCTATTGGAGGAGTTCAAGTCACCCTACCCCACCACGCAAAAGTAGAGGGATAGTTTATGCATACCCCGGTTGTTCCGATGATGCCGTCGACCGCTTTTCTATAAACAACAAGCACATCAAATCATCGAACTCGTTGTTCCTGATGGTGGCGAATGGGCGGCTGGATTCGGTTGAGAGGCTATTGTGGGCTGGTGCGGATGCGGAATATGAAATAGACGGAGAGAGGTTGCTGTACGCGCCATGGAATGTCGGAAGAAAGAATGAGGTTGCGCAGCTTATGTATGCGTATGGTTGGAGACATAGGAACCGTAAGTGGGTGAGGTTTACACACGGTCCAGGCTCCGAACATCGTGTCGCCGGCCATGATTTCATGCAAGAGACCATCACGGTTGTGAATAATTCGCCTCAACGTGATGCGGGGTTCAGACATCGCGCATATCGTTTGTACCGAGCGAGTCGCGACTGGCTCGTCGTCTAGGGGTCGTCGCGGTACCATAACTTGTTTGAGAGGGGTTCGTCGTGTAGGTATAATTAGCGCTCGTCTCCTCGGCGTCACTGCCGTAGTGAGGGCAAAAAGAGGCTAAATGATATCCGCCGGTACGAGGACAGCGTTTCTGTGGTGCGAAGAGCTGGTTTTGGTACGGTCGATGAAGTGGTGCTATTCAGGAAGGATGCAGAACAGTAGTTGGAAGCGTTATGCTCTAGGACTATCAAGAGGAAGGACATACGTCGTATCTGAATTAATCATAAATGCCTATGTTGAAGCGCTAGTAACTTTTTTTGGGTCGTGGAAACGCCATCGTCTGTGACGTGCGCCAGTCCATGTCTTGTTCACCGTACCCTTCAAGCCACCCCACAATATCAACAATCCAATATCATATCCGCAATATCTTCCCGACCAGCCTCTCGCGCCAGCTGCACAGCAGTCTTCCCTTCCCCATCTTCCGCATCGATATCCGCTCCTTTATCCAGCAGACACTGCACTATCTCCAAGCTGCCCTTCAAAGCAGCGATAGCCAATGCAGTCCTACTCTCCCGGCCTTGACCTTTGTGGGCGCGGCTACAAGTACGGTCGATATCCTCTTTGATCTCCTGTTCAGTTAGATTGTTCAGCAGGGTCTCCATGACTGGCATGCGACCAATCTCAGCGGCAACGTGAAGAGCGGTCATGCCGAAGTCTTCGTACCGCATGCGCGCACCCCGCTGGAGTATCTTGTCAAGACTATCGATGTCGACGCCCAATTCTTGGCCCGCGTTGTGCAACATGAGGTTCAGCGCGACGCCTTCTTCAATGGCGCCCTTGTCGAAACAAAATTTTGGTTGTGCTAGGAAAACCATGAGAGTGTGGACATTGGGGTGCTTGACTGCCCATTCCAGCGGTCTTGGATTGTTGACAAGGGCTGGGAAGTTCATAGTCTTTTCGCTTAGTAACAATTCTGTCATCCGGGGGCTTCTGCGGAAGAGTGCGTTGTTCAGAGCCTTGCGAAGATTGATCTGATTGTGTCTGATCATTTCGCGCACCACCTCGTAGTCTAGTATCTCCTCGAGCATACGCGGTTCGTGTTGCCATGTTGCGTATTCGATGAGGTGACCGGCCTTCTCCTGCATATTGACCGATGTCAGGATGGGTTTCAGTAAGCGGTGGTCCCCGGAATCTATGATGACTTCGGCGTATGATGTATTGTTCCACGGGAAAAGGTCGTCGGGCGATTTCACGAACACGAAGTTGATGGTGCCGTTGACCATGTCTGGTATTCCGGTGCAAACTGCGTTCCACAGTAACGCCTTGATTTCTTCTTCGCCGAGAGGTACGTCAGTGGAGCGATGTTTGGAATAAATCGGATCTGCTATTTCCACACTGGAACCAGCCGCGAGGATACATGAGTAACTTCCAAAGGCATCGATCTTTGTAGTGAGGAATTTGGCCGTCTGGATATGGTTATGCAAGATCGCGACATCGATCGGCGCTAGCATCTGGGCGTCTTCTGATGTCATGTACTTCTTCAACAACCAATACGAGGAGAAGTCCTCGATGAGCTTGTTGAGACCAAAGAGCGCGTATATGTGGAGCAGTGTCGTATCATGTTTGCGAACATCATGATACGAGGAGATGCCGTAATTCCGGGTCATGAACATGATCCACCACTTCTCCAGAACTGTAGGTACAGAGCAAAAGGTCGCCTCAATCAATGCCACCAAGTCTTGCGGGATGTTCTCCAGCAGTTTGACATGATCAGCCCAGTGATTTATTGCATACTTCAAGTCGGTAGGGACTTGCGAGACCCAAATAGACTCTTCGTTTTCCAGATCTGCCATGTCGACCTGAGCAAGGCCGGCGCCGATTAACTCTAGGCATTGTCGAGCAAGCTTGGCATTATTGGCTTCCGCAAGACTTGACTGTGAGAGCGCGAGCCATGCATCGGAATCTGCGAACCCTATGTGCTCGGAACTAATTAGCAGTTCGGTTGGACGAGAGTCGAGGAATGCAAGAACGTGGGTTCGCTGGCTCTCGGGGAACATGGACAGAAGCTGCCCGGTGGTCGGCGGGCAAAGGTAGGCAGCGAGCACCTGCAACACTATAAAACCCATGCGGCTATACTTCTGGCTCAGGCTGCTAAGATGCTCCTCGACTGTAAGCGAGCCCATAGTCGAAGACATAGACCCGCTCCCAGTATGCGCATCCAAGTCGACATTCCCGTATTTTGCGACGTCTAGAGGGGTGCGGGTGGTGACAAGGAACTTCAAAGTAGGTTGCGTCTCCGGGCAGCCTTCGTACGGGAGCGTAAGATCGAGTAGTTCAAGGATGAGAGCTCTACTCTCTGCGTCACATTCGTCCAAGCCATCCAACAAACAGTATGTTATTCCCGCGTCGCTCAGCTTTGCAGCCCGTCGTAAAAAGGCCCACATCATTCTGGCCTTGTTGAGGTAGGAAGGTACGTAAACGGGATCGTGAAGAAGCCATTCACAAAATTCTTCAGTCAAATCAGGTCTTTGTTGGACAAGCTGATATATCCAGCCGTTTAGCACTGCGCTGGCAGTACTGCGTTGACGGTCAGATCGGTGACAAAAGAAATACAGGACCTGAGTCTTCTTGGGAAGACTTGACGACTGAAGACCTTGAAGGCGGTTCACAATAAAGAAAGCTGCTGAAGTTCTGTCGGTCTTAGTTCCACCGCATATTTGAGCTCGTGGTTGTCCGTGAGTGGGCGCAAGCCACTGAGTAAGGATTTCGTCATCTTTTAACCGCTGGCCGTTGCTGTTTTGCCCCAGCGAGCTTTTGATAGTGTCGAAATGGTGGGTTGGATCGAATGGTTTCAGTACGTGCTTGGTTTTATCTTCCAGGCTGAAAATGTCCCTTTGGAGCTGAAGCATGTGAGGACTGTTGAGACGTAAGCAATTCTTAGGTATGAAAGTCGGACGCGCATCCTGTGGCTGGACGTTCTCTGACTGGGCGTTCTCTGTAGGCACATCTTGTGGCGGCATAGCGATCACAAGGTAGTTTCTCACTATCTATCGACCCCCGAAAGTAAGGGCAGATGAATACATATACGCTCCATCTTACTGTTTGGGTACGAGTTATCTCGTGTCGTAGTTGCGCTTTGCCATGCGCACGCGTTCCTGACAATGGCGTGTGCAGGTGGGCAGCAAACACCAAATCCCATGAGATGTCGTCAATTCCTATAGTCAATGAAGGTAACACAATGATTCCTGCGGTGTCGACCCATCTCGCGCTGGGTTGATGTATGGTGTTGGGTGGTAGTCAGGATGTTGTTGTGGCAGTCGCGATCACACCAGAACCCGGACAGGAAGGTCCGCGGAAGCCTCACGTGACGGCGCGACAAGCGATTTGTGGTTTCGGCGCGCAAAGCCGTCGCAATTGGCCGGGAGGTATTTACGCAAAGCAGGATCTGACGCAGGGTGATCCAGTCGAATGAGGGAGACATGCGAGGAAGAAACAAGTATGGGCGGGCAGAGTTGGTTAACTGGGAGGAGCAAGGTTCCAGGTACGAGGTTGAGATGAGGTCAAATTGGGCATTCAGGCGGTGCGCCTCCCGCGGAGCGTTGCGGATGGCTTTTGGCGGGATCGCGATGCTGAACAGGAAAGGCGATGCATCGCGACAGCAGTGGGCAGTAAAAGAGCCATGCGGAGAGATCGGCCGAAGATTGAGTGTCGTGATGTTGCGCGGTGCGGGCGGTGGTGTTGAGGTTCAGCCTCCTATTATTGGGCCCCAGCCCCCATAACAAGATGAATAATTGCATCATGGCGTCGTAGTCAACCAGCGCACTACTGTGTCAAATCCCCAAGCGCGCCCTGCTTTTCCCACTTCTCTTTACCTGGGACGGATTTTCGGCACCCTTCAATTGCTTGACTGTCTTGTTCCTTCTCGAGCATTGTGTTGCGTGCTGCTGCACACCAAATTGATCTACCTCCCCCACAACTAGCGCCGGCATCGTCGGTTCCAGGCCAGGAACTGCTGTTCCCCCAGACGACGGCCCCCCAAACACGCCAAATACCAACACCACCACTTTGCTGCCAGCGCGCGTTCTCGCGGCCAGTGTCGCATACTGCTCGACCTCACCATGCCGGCCGTACGCGATCCCCTCAGCTTCCTCGCCAACATGGCGCCCCGCGACTCCAGCCTTAGCCCCCGACAGCCTGCCCTCGACGTGCCACCGATTGTCTTCGATGCGCCCAAAACCGCCCCCATTGCCAAGCGACAGAACGTTATATATGCCCAGCAGGGTATAATACCCACCTACTACAACACCGACGGTCCCGAGCCCGGTACCGTCGTCGGCATCGTCCTGGGCAGCGTCGCCGGCTTTCTCCTGATCTGCTGGCTCATTCAGTCCCTGATGAACACCAACAACAAGACCGGTACGACCACGGCCATGGCTGGAGAGGAGGAGATTGTAGTGCGCAGGCCCCGACGCAATTCACACGGCGGACGCTCGTCGCGACGCCGCTCGGAAGTCCGCGAGATTAGCAGGAGCCCGAGGCGGAACAGTGGGCGATCGCAGATCATCGTTGAGGAGAGGAGGGGTGCGCCACCGAGAGCGAGGAGCATCATCGTGGAGGGACGGCAACGCGTTCCTGGCGATGATGTCGTCGAAGTCATCGAGGAGCACGATGAGTACCGCGAGAGGAGAGGCGCCCGGAGAGGCCCGGGATACCGGTGAGTGCTTGAAATATCCTCTTTTGAAAATGTAGATTTACTAATGCATCCAGGTGAACAGATACTGAACAGTAACTCCATCGCGCTTCATACCCTCCACCAAACACCCCACAACCTACCAACATCCTTACGTGCGACCACTACCCACCGTCGCACCACAGATACCCCCAGAATACCCCTTTGCTTATTCCGCGTTCTTGTTTTGCAGTACTTCCACCGATATATTTTCTTCTCTGTACCATAATACGGGTCTCTTCCTTGATACTTGGCGTTCAAGCGGCGGCATTGAAGGCGACGACATCCAGTTTGAAAGTGAAGGAATGGAAAAGGTTATGTTAACGCATGACGCATCATGTATAGCGAGACGCGCCTCTGATTTGGACGTATGGGAAATGATTGCAGGACTTGTTATTTGCAGATGAACAGTCAATATATGATCCATGAGATCGAATTATCAGTAGCCGGCTGGACCTTACCGTGATGTCGCAGTCGCTCTTTCCTCGTAAGGTCGCTCACCATAGTAGCCCCACTTTATGTTGACTGCTACAAACAAACCGCGACACTCACTTCTCCACCACACCCTACGCCGTCGCTTTTACGTTCCGTCTCCAGGCTCAATACACCCATCCGATACAACGCGCGCCCAGAACCACTGACGTCTGTCGCTCGCAACAAAGGTAGACAGCAGCTGCAGATCGCCCGCCCTAAAAGCTGTACTAACATATGCACAGATGGCTAAATCTCTACTCGATCTACCTCAGGAGCTCCGCGACATGATCTACGAGTACGCACTCACGGAAGATGAGGGTCTTTTCGTCCAACGATGGCCTGCGATGCACCTCAAGGCGGCCGGCGCCACGTACAGGACTGATCCAAACCAGCTGAAGTTCACCTGTCGACAGCTCTACGCCGAGACGACTGGACTGAGCCTGCGATACAACGAGTTGATCTTCGATGATTGCGCCAGCTTCGATACATTCGACGAATTTACAGGGACCTACTGTACAAGTGCGCATTTCGAGCGTGTCAAGAGAATCGTCATCGTTCAGGAAAGATATATCAAGATACACCAAGAGCTGAACAGAGCGCATGCCATCTGCGAAGCCTAGCCAGCTTTGTCGGTTGAGATACGCTGTGACTGGCTCGCGGAGCGTACTGATTTCTGGACATGGTTCACTGGAGGCACTGAGATTCAATATGCACTTTGCGACACGTTTCCTGAGGTTGCTGCTCCTTGGATCATGTCTGTGGTACGATCAAGGCGTCAGAGACTTGGGTATCGATGGATCGTCAAACCGAGGAGCTTCCAAATATATCCTGCAGGCTTCGACGAGGAAAGTCTTAGGCTCTCTGCTATGGAGATGCATCTCGGCGACATTGAAGGAGGTCTTGACGATTGGGTTGCGCAGTGCAAGAAGTGGTTCCAGGAAGGCTTCTGAGTTGCTGTCAACGTTGCATGGGTACTACGGCGCATCTGGCAGTAGGAAGCCGAAGAGGTGCATCTCAGGTTTGTCGTTTAGAACATTATTCAAAAGCAAGAGCTGGTGAGCTTAAGAACAGATCGGGATACATGCTACACGATTCAATCGATACTCCTGTCCGATAGAGTGTCATCACTTCCCTTTACTGTGACGTCATACGCGCAGTCACTCCTTCCATATGAGTTTCTGTGACCCGCCAAGCCTCAGAGCAAACGGGCTAGTCTCCTAGACAACAACACTGAGACTTTACTTGCCTCTCCGCTTCTCCTCCTCCTCACACTACTTACTGTCGCCGACACTCAGTATGCGCCTCCCACCCTCACAGCCACTCGCCACAGGCGACTCAGCACCACCGTCGGTCCCAAACCGCCTACTCGCTCTACCGAGAGAACTCCGCGATATAATTTATGAGGGTACAGTAGCTGCCACGAGTAGCTCTTAAGATATCTTGCTAACTTATTACTAGTATGTAGCTCCCTTGCTATGCTTTGCCAACGCGGTGCTAAGACATCTTACTCTTCGTGCTAACAGCTTGACAGTACGCCCTCACGGAAGATAGAGGCCTTCTTCTCATCGAGACTCACCCGAAGAGCTTCAGAGGCCATCGACTCTACGAACACTGGGTCGAATCCAACCGCCTCAAATACGTCTGTCTCCAGCTATACGACGAAACCAAGGGCCTGGGTCTGAGACTGAACGACCTGGCTTTTCAGTCTGACCGGCAGATCGCAGACTTCTATACATTCGTTACTACGTGCTCGGCGAGTCAGCAGCAATGCATTTGTCAAGTCACACTATGCGACGAATATTCGAGTTCCTCGGGATGGGTGAGCTCATGGGTCAAGGGAGTCGAGATATTGGCGCCATATGTCGCCTGGTATCCCGGCATCAATTTTCACTTATACGTCGGCTCTCTCGGCGAAATCGAATCCGCCGATATGTGGCTTATGAAGGCTGCCGGCCTCCTGTACGCCAGACACATGCACGAGAACCATGCTGTTCTCTCTCCGTTCATGCGCCGGATGGCCGTTCGTCTTGGCTCTGATCGAGAGGAGCCAATCCCGAGTCATATCCGCATATTTCCTGGTACAGGGCCTGGTGACCTTGCGCCACCTATCTTCAGTGAGGAAGACATACAGAGACATGGCGTGGCGCAGATCGAGCTCTGCATCAAAGAGATCGAAAAGTGGCAGCGCGAGGGTGTCTAGCAACATCGAAGTCTCTAGGGCGAGTTGCGAACTTACGATCGGAAAGGATCGACGCTAGTGTCGTTACGAAGGCTGCTTCTACTTCAGGTATATTCTCCAAATGATTCTTGGGGTTACGGAATGATTTGCTAACTACATAGACTCCAGTGTGTATCATGGAAGCTCGGAACTTGCGCTGTAGGGTGTAATCATCGCTTGGATTCGGCAGTTGTAATATAACGATCTGGATGGACTACCTGGGATGGGAGGCGGGTGGCATCAAAGTGTCGGAAATATTTGCGGCATTAGGGAGACGAAGTAGTCGAAGGTCTGGGCTGAGACACGAGAACAACACGAAAAGCATTCACGCACCATGAGAAGACTGCAAGTGATTTGATGATAATGTATTGAGGGCATGCACTATATCGGCATCCCATTTCCTGTCCTACATACGGACACTCATACTGAATTACAACTGATAAAATTTTAGGCCGTCACAGTCCACTCCAAGCGTGAACACATCTTCTCCGTCATAGCCTCATTCCCACAACCAGCCATCTAGACCTGGTTCTCGTTGCGCTCAGCGGGCTCCAAAATACCACCGTGGGTACCAGCCTGTTCGGCCTTGCTGAAGTTGCGACCACCAGGACCCATGTGCAACCTGTCAGTGTCGACAAGACCGTCCTTGGCCAAACTCGACGCATCCCACTTGGCGCTGGTGATAGGGTTGACGTGAATCATGTACATGGTGTCGATCTCCTCGAGCGAGCGGCCCTTGGTCTCAATCATGAAGAAGTAGACGACGAAGAAGAGCAAGACGAGGGAGACAGCGAAGACGAGACCGTAGAAGTAGTCGATGCGGTCGGTGATGAGGGTAGAGCAGAAGGAGATGATGAAGTTGAAGAGCCAGTTGGAGGCGGTGGCGAGACCCATGCAGGTAGCGCGGTAGCGGGCAGGGTACAACTCTCCGACGATGGCCCAGACGAGGGGGCCCCAGGTAGTGGCGAAAGCGGCAATGAACAGGCAGGTGAAGACAATCATGACGTTTCCGGCAGCGGGCGTGCTCTGAGGAAGGTTCTGGTCGAGGGCGTAGTGACCGACGAAGGAGTAGATGAAGAGGCACATGGCCATCCAGGCAGCACCGACCATCATGGCCTTTCTGCGGCCGACATTTTCGACGACCCAGAGACCGAAGATGGTAGCGACGACGTTGACGGTTCCGAGGATGATGGAGGTGACGTATGAGTTGGAGAGGCCGGTGGCGGAGAAGATGGTTGTGCCGTAGTAGAAGAAGTAGTTGGCACCTGTCAACTGCTGACCGGCCTGGAGGACCATACCGAGCAGAGTGCGGTACAGCATGCGGGGGCCGGTGAAGATCTCGTGCCATGGGTGGTCGCCGCCAGCAGACTCAGCCTCGAGCTTCTCTTGGATCTCAGCAATCTCGGCGTCGATGAAGGCGCTGTGCGGGTCGACACCGTTGAGACGGGCCATGTTCATGCGAGCCTCGTCGACCTTGCCCTTGCGGTATGCGTAGCGGGGGGACTCGGGGAGGAGGAGGATGGTGCTACCAAGGATGATGGCCCAGAGTGCGGAAAGACCGTTGGGAATGCGCCATTGGGCGCTGTTGACGTAGTCCTTCTCTGTGCCGTAGTTGACCATGTATGCGGTCCAGATACCGAGCGTGATGAACAGTTGGTAAGAGGAGACGGTGGCACCACGGATGCGCTTGGGGATCGACTCAGATTGGTACATGGGAACGACGGTGGAGAGAGCTCCGATACCGAGACCGGCAGTGAAGCGACCCATGGCGAATTGAGCCCAGACGTCCTTGCTGGTGATTTCGATAATGACACCGATGATGTAGAAGAAGGCGGAACCGGAGATGGTAAGACGACGACCGAAGGTATCAGCGAGAGGAGCTGAGCCTAAGCATCCGAAGAGAGTACCGACACTGGGAGATTGTTAGACGCGTTCATCGCGTTGCGAACGAAGTGACTTACGCAAGAAGACCGACAATGGCACCAGAGCGGACAGCAGAGAACTCGTTGTTCTCACCGCCGAAGCGCGCCTTGAAGTCGTCCATCTCGAGGAAACCAGAGATCTGTCCAGACTCATATCCGAACATGAATCCACCGATACTGGCACAAGCACCGAGAATAACGGCAATGGCAGGCACGCGGCCCTTGGGCTCGAGATCCGCAGCCTGGACGGTCTCAGAGTTTCCCCTGGGGGGTGTGTCCGCAGGAGTGGCGGTGTTGGGTGTTCCCTTCTCGTGAATCTCCTCCTCGGTCGCCTTCTTCTTGAAGAAACGCGACATGACCGTCATGTTGGGCGCGTGGTAATTAGGAATCAATAGAGAAAAACAAAAGGGTATCGAGCAAAGGTCGAGCTGGTCTGCAGCGCGGGGTATACGTCTCAAACAAAGCGAGCTGGAGAGAAGCTGGAGAAGAGGAGACCAGTGTGGGCTGTGAGGAGAAGGCTGCGCCGTATAAATAGCAGAAAATGCATGCGGAGACGGGTTCGTAGGGTCTATTGACAGTGGAGCCCCAGTGTCAGTCTCATCCGCATACCCATCCGACTAACATTTTCCAGAACGCCCTAGCCATGGAGGCGAAAGGAGATATGCTCGCACGAGCGCCCTGACAACGGAGGTATGATGACATCGCATCGTGGAGCTGGAGCTGGCAACGGGGCAGCCTGTCACGAGCACGCTTGAGCCGGAGAGCTGCCGGTCGTGAATTTTCTTCATCGCGTAGCATCGGAATGGTTGCTGGACACGCCGAGAAGCACAGACAGTTGATAGTGCAACGATCGGCCCACTGCAGCTGTTGCAAGTATACCGCCCTTCCGGTTCTGGTGGATTACTCCTCGGGGTCGTATACGGGGTCGTATAGTTTGTGACTTCGCCCCAGTGACTCCAGTATCGCGTGCTCCAACGGTTTCCCCTTACATGGCCATTGTGGATGGTGATGATGGGGTGCGCTTCAGTATCGGCGAACTGCTCCATCCGAGTATCCAATGTTAGACTTCATCCAGCCGGCCTATGAGATAGCTTGGAGCTACCCGGGATGTTTCCTTATGCAGGGGCATAGACGCGTCTATAGTGCAGACGAGGCTGACAAGTGCCTCATATCGTTGGACAATATGCAAGACGTGTACGCACGGACGTGACGGCACTCGCTAGCTTCCGCAGAGCCTCAAGTCGCGTTGGATCGTTCACACCGGTGACAAGTCCATCTGGTCGCCATTGGACGGTAGCCGGAACGAAAAGGTTGTTCTCCAGCTAGGGCAGCACGTTTTTCGTCCTAGTAGCCGGTAACTGGTGCGCCAGAGCTTCTGCATTAGAAAACCGGGGATGACAGTTCCTGCGGGATATCCAAATTCTTCGCGGAGCGCGGTAAATCGAGACTTGCGACGTCAGATGTCCACCTCTACGTCACCGTGATTTTTCATCGCTGGCAGCGCATCCTCGGTGTCGGCGGTACGAACTTGGCAGGTTTCCCAGCAAACGCCGGTCTTGGCCGACGCGCGATAAAAACCTCATCTCCGACTCCGAGGTTGCAGCGCTAGCGGCCCGCTACGTGCATCAAAGCGTGAAAATCTTGAGCCAAGAGTCCTGAAGTTTCTGAGAAATACGGGTCCGTGTGGATCAATGCGAGAGCATCGTGAGATGAGCAATGTGACAGGTGCCGACATCCAGGTCACGCTTTCGCGTCGAGATTGTGAGACCGGGTGATGTTCGGGAGACCGAGGGGTTACCGGATGTTGGGAACGGCAGTATGTGGGATGACGGTTGTGGTGCGCATGTGGGGAGACACGTTGATGGAGTCTCCAGACACGTCTACGATGGTTAGCTTTGACTCCGTGTTATAGTAGACAGGTACCCCGTGGGTGGTGTGAGTACGGGGTGCCGACCGCAAACAGAAAGATGCGTGATGTGACAAAACAAGCAAATATACGTACCAGTATCAATCATTCGATTGAGCGCACCAATTCCAAAGAGCAATTTCTCTTAAGCTTGGTAGCAACATGTCGCCGTCGTTCTGAAAAGAGCCAAACAGACGTTCCACCCCGTGGGGAGCGCGACCTCTTATACAAATTACTTCGGACGGCTTTCCTCCGGCTGTGGAGATGCTTCGACCCCAGAGTGACGCCGATCCACCAATGAATGATGTAGTCCCGTGATGAACGAGCCGACTGCCGTTTCTTTTGCCTAATGTATCGCCTCTTTTGAGCCTCCTTTCATCCTCTGCCTGAGTCGAGAAGCGCGAAAGCTTCCCGCATGTCGGATGGCATCCTGCTTTGGGAAAGGTTCAGGCCACCTCCGCAAGGCGCGATGCTGCCGTGGTGAATGTCGCATTGGAGCCATGAAAGCGGCTGTTGTGCTGAACAGGCTGCTAGAATGACGGAGGCTGTAGCATCATTGTCCTGACGCTTGCGTGCGATGTTTGCTCTAACTCCAGGTGTTGCAAAGCGCGTGTGCATCCATTTGCTTCGGATGGGGCGGATAGGGGTGTGGAGAAGGAGCTCTGGGGTAATGCGGATTAGTTATCGCCAAGCGCCGCTAGCTACCAAAAAGGACATGACAGCGTGCTTTCCCTTGACACATCCTTTCTCCAGTCCACGCACGAAAGCACTCAGATTTAGACAATGCATACTCTCTACTCATTGCACCCGTTCTATAAATGATACCCGATGAATCGCGATGCCCGACACTCTGATTCATCACGATACTAGCCACATATACCCGGTCCCGGCGCATGGTAGCTCAGCTTCCAGAATGGGTCACAGTGCACGTGCAACTTTCGCGCGGGCATACTCATATCACAGGTTAGGGATTGAGCGTCTCATATTCGACGTACCTATCTGATTGCCCTCATGCTAGTATCGGCGTGTTACCTCGGGTGTGAAGAACTCGAGAAACTATAGCACTGCCCAGGCATCTCCAAACTCTCGTTATACAAGCACTTGTTTCCGGCTGTCGTTCTTGTTGCCGATGCGGCGCGTGTTGTTCATGAGCAACATGCCTCAAATGCCGTTTTTGTACCACTCCCTGATCTGCGCGACCCAATCCTCGAACCCCTTCTTCTTCCGAAGATACGAGTACCGCACTTCGGCTTCATCGAACTCCTCCATCGGATAAACCTTGATGTTTCCCGAGAGCAGCCTGCCTCCTGAGCGGAACCTCCATAGCCTCGTATTTGTGTTCTTGTGCATGCGTCTTGCCATCTTTCTAATCTCGCTTGCAATACCTGCATCAACCTGGAAAGGCAGCTTTTTCCTTCGCAGAACACGCTGTAGCGCCGCCCCAGCAACAAGCAAACCGCGACATCCAAGATCCTTCCGTAGAGCTTGCGTAAAGATAGCCACTTCGAGCTGCGGATTTCTTTGGCAGAAAAAAACGAAGTCATCAAAGGGTATATCCGAGAGAAAGCTGTCTGTGGGTCGATCATGCTTGTAACACTCAAGTTGCCGAGTTCCAGGAACGAGGGTTTGGCTAAAGGTGTTATAGGAAGAGTGAAAGGACGCGTCAGCCGGCGAAACACCCATCCAAGCAGTCTCTGTGCGAAGCTGCCGACAAGTGTGCTTGAGTGTATTGAACTGGTGTAATCGCGTTGCGTGGGCCTTGTATGGTGCCTTGTGAAGATTACCAATCACACGTAGCGGTTTTGAGTCCTCCAGTGCGTATTCATAGATCCTGTTGCGTATCTCGCCAGGTAATCGGAGAAGCGGACTATGGAACTGACGCAGGATCGATTTTGGCACTAGCAAAAGTGTTAGTGTCGTAGAAGTGATTGCAATAGCTGAGACTACCTGCGCCGCTGCCCTCGGCACTCGCAGTCGCCATTGACTGAGCTATACTGTTGATCGCTGTCGCTGTTTATCGTTCTTGCAATGCCGGGACAAAGAGTTTGGAGGTTGCTACAGCGAAAATCGCGTGGAGGCAAGAGCAAATGCGCAGGCTAAGCGAGGGCGGAGGTCAACCTTGGAACCTTGGAAGGCACAGAGGGAGGAAGAGCGAGCGTCAGTAGTACCCGTGAATCTCCCGAGGACCACAACCAAGCGCGCCAAAAGAAGAGGGCAGGCCGGGTTGCAGCAGCGGCGGCGGGCGAAATATGGCTGGCTTCTGTCGCGGGTGCAGAGGGTAGTCCCTGGCAGGACTTCAGCGCAATGACGTGGAGTGAATGTAAGTCAACGCCCGCAGCCGTGAAACCTCTAGTACGGTCGCTTTTGTATGGTGACAAAGTGTTTTGCTAGGCCTACAGTGTGGCATGCAAGAACACGTTATGTTTGCAGTCTAATTGCCGATCCTAAACACATGCCTAGGTAGTGTTCGCTACAGGTAGTTAAGATTGGAAAGACATGTTAATTCGATGCATGTAAGGAACAAGTTCTGGTATGGATCGAGCTACAAACCCGCAGTCTACACTGCAAATTCCCTCATCGTGTTGAGGCATCGCCAGCGGCGTAGGCTGGATTGGCGTCACTCAGCGTTCGAGATTCCCATTGAGTAGTTTGCGGCGTCCCTCAAGATGTGCTTCCTTTCCCGCATCCAATTCTCCCCCCATGTTTTTTGATGTAGTCAACAGTTACTTTGACCTCATTGGACGGAGCTTGAATCTTGCAAATCTTCTCACTGGCCTGCGCTGTGCGCTCGTTGGCAGCAGCGATCTGCTCTTTGAACTTGGCTTCACGAAGAGCGTTACGGCGCTTCAGCTCGGCTAGGATCTAGCCCAGTCATGAGTTTGCGATCGGGGTGGATCGAAACCCGGTTCGTCATCTGCTGTGCTGTGGTCGTTGATGCCTCTTCGTGTTGCACCGATCTTTGTGGCTGTTTGGCTTTGTAACGATGGCGCTGCGTGATGGCAGCGGTCAACATGGTGCGCGGCTGCGCGCTGAGCACGTGATCAGCGCACTAGCGCCTTGGCCAAATAAAGGCGAGTCTCAACGCGACACCGAAATCTTTGACCGCAGCATTAACATCCCACACCGCTGCGAACGACCATGAATACCACCATGGCAAATCATCCGCAGCAACAATTTGGCCAAGGCCTTGGTAACGGTGGCGATGGCCCGCCTAATGAGAGGCAACATGCTAATCCACAACGTGGACATTACGCGGAGAGTCTCCGCCCAATTGTAGTGCGCGACCACCAGAAGTCGGCTGACGGTGTGCGCTTTGGTGAGCACCAAGAGCCTGGCTATCATGTCGGCTATCAAAACAGCAGCTACGGCGCTGAGTATGGCCGTGTACCTGAGACATACCGTCCTCCAGGCAGTTTCGCTAACTCTAGGCATACCTCCGACTATAGGCACCCAGTACAGAGTGGTCCCAGCCACAGGACTATTGAACGTAAGGGGACTCCATTGAGGAAGTCATCCTCATCCCAGGGCAGCCATCGTGATCGAATGCGTACGAGGGCTCGCCCTGCGCGTGAGGCGCCGAGCCGAGAATCGGCCAGCGAGCGCCTGGCCAAGATACTCGCACAGCGCAAGGCAGAGTCGAGTGCTCGATCTGCTCCAAAGGCTCAACCACCCACACCGCCCACGCCAGCACAAGTTGCCCAGGGCCAGGTACAACCGGATTTGGAACGTAGGTTCCAGGACCAAGAGCAGCGATTTCAAGCTGCTATGACGATGACGCAGCAACAGGCGGCTATTATCGTGGCAATGCAGCAAGAACATGACCAGCTGAGGCGCGAACATGACACGCTGGTAGATCAGCTGAATGAGGCAGCGCGAAACGGTGCGTTTCCTGCTTTCGCCCCTGCACCACGTGCCCACATAGAGACGGCGGCTGAGCCGCTTAGACCAAATATCTCGCAGTCCTCACAGGGTCATGCAGGTGAGTATCACAGCATTCACATGCTATCAAGCCAAGAAGCCGGGTCGCTGCAGTCAGCACCTGGTATTGGACAACAAATGGCCCCCTCGGGCTTTGGGAACGGTCTCACTCCGACGGAAAGTCAGATTTCCTCATTGCAGTCGTATCTTAAGGGTACGCTCCCTAAAGGCGACTTCGGTCAGCCACCGGGACGGGAGAACTGATCGGGGGTGGGAAGGGTTGGACGGAGGAGGTGGAAGCTTTAGTGCAGAAGGTTGTTCTGCTATGTAGTTAGTATGAACGTAGAGATCTTTGGTAAACAATTGGTGTTCATCTCAGGCACATGTGATGCTTGTATGGTGGATGATATCTCATGTACGTGAATAACAGCCCTATGACTTCCATCACGAAAGCTACCAACCCTCTAATCACGTTTCTCTCCCAAGCTCTACCCCAACGTCACCATCGTCCGACTCATGTGTGTCCCAAAAACCAAAGATCATACCTCCCCGTATAATTAGGCCCCGTATGTGTAAGTGCAGGCCTCGGAAACTCCAACCCAACCCACTGCTGCCAATTGCTCCACCTCACCCCACATCCCAACCTAAACACGAAATTCCCCGGAAACGGCTGCGGTTCAAACGCATGGTCCGACCATGTCTCCGCCATCTCGTCCAGAGCCCTGTCGATATTGTACCAAGCGCTGTAGTATCCGTCGTCGACCCGTTTCCGAGCTATCTCGTAGGAGAAGCCTGCGATCGGGAATTTGGATGTGTCGTTGGAGATCTTCGGGTCTACGGCGTGGAGGAATGTCTGGATCGAGGTGGAAGGGTGGTGGGTGGCGAATGTGACGAGTTGGGCCATGCAGGGGTCGAAGAGGTGCGGCGAGAAAGGACATTGTCTGTATGCGATGCGCTCGTGGATGTGGATGCGGTGGATGCCGTTGAGCTGTTCGGGTCTGGCGCTGGCAATGTACTCTGCACATATGCTGGAAGCGGATTCGGGCGTGTCTTTGCGGAGAGGGAAGATTAGTTCTGGACAAAGGGTTGGTGGTAGAGCTGATGTTTCTTCGTGGAGTTGTTTGCAGACGAATTTCATTTGGTTTAGATCCATACGTAGCTTTTTGGGAGGATCGTCGATGATTAGACGCTGGTGTAAAACTCCGTTCTTGAGGTAGGGTGCCATGAGGATAGCCTCGTCCGTTTCGAGAACGTGAGCATAGACAATGTTGCGGAGCTCCCCTGGGAGTGAAAATAGCCGAAAAGGGCCTGGTGACTCATCGTGGGCGTTCGTAGTTTGGTCTGATGAAGCAGTTTCTGTCTGAGTTGCTGATGACACTGCAACATTCGAGTGGAAGGGCGTATGTCGGTTTGGAGAGCTCGTGACAAAAGGATAGCCAGCATACTCAGACAATGAGGTCAGCACGGGCCGAAATACACGCAGTAGTAGGGAGCTCATGATTGCCACGCGGTGATGTGGAGGGTTGAGAGAGAATATGCTTTGTTCCGGTGAGTGTAATGAGTTATGAATCCCTGGAGTGCCCCGTAGCAAGCGCCCAAGCCCTCTTCTTTGCGCACGAGCTTTGGATAAAGTTCGCCATACTTCTAGGTAGTAGCACATAGTCGATGTCAGCGTCCGTTCACTACATTCACATCACCAAATCACCAGGATTCACTCCCTCGTCATTCGCCACAATCCCAACCTCCCTCTTGAACCGTGACAACCAGTTCGGGAAATCCGCAGGTGTCTGGTTCCACGGGTCGTCGCCATCATACATGATCCATCGTGCTTGGTGCTGTATCTCTTCATCCGAAGGGACGTGGCAATTCGGGTTCTTCGGTGAAAGCGTCGATGCCGCCCATCTCCGCATGTCGCTGTCAAAAATCCGGTAGAAGTTGGTATCGTCGGGGAGCAGCGAGCGCAGACGACCGTACATGTCCGTTTGCGCGGTAGATTCAGGCGAGATTATGGGCTCTTCGGAGAAGGTGGGAAGCGTAGTGAAGTAGTCGTGGGTTTGCTTGGATGGACTTGCGGTCCCGAGAGCGGAAGTAGACGCCTCTTTGGGAGGCGAGGCAGGCCATGAGAGGTCTAGCAATTCGCCCAAGCCATGATCTGCCGTGATGTTGGTGGATACAACATCGGAGATGCCGGCGCGTTGCTTGAAGAGCGAAATCCAATTCGTGCCCGAGTAGATTCCTTTGACGATCCAATTCGCGAAAACATCGGATGGAGTACTAGACTCTTGCTCCATGCGCCGAACGATCTGACATGCTTCATGATGCAGTTGCGCATCGTCCAGTGCTTCACCTGTCGCCACGCGCTGAGTCACGAAAGCACGAAGCTGCGCCTCTAGCGGGCATTGTTCGAAGAGATGATCCTTGGCATTGATCCGTAGCGGAAAATGTCTGCTCTCGCGGGAAGATCGAACGGGCTGAAACCTTGCGTGTTCAGTCAGCTCATGTGATGACATCATCAGGTCTCGCAGCCACGAGACCTCGTGAAGATGGTTTGTGTCTGGTCCGTGCATGACGGAAGTAGTTTCGGCTGCGAAGATGATGCGACATGCTTCTAGCTGCATCGCGTCATTGTCAGGTAAGCATCCGTGCTTGTCGAAATACCGCTGAATGAAGAACTCGATTTCGACTTTAAGCAATTCGTAGGCGTTTGGTGGAGTACCCCAAGATGGATCGCTGCCTTTCATGGGAATGAGGGTACCTCGTTCCCAATCGATGAGATCTGGATGATGTCAGTATGCATAGCCTTCAATGAGCGAATCATGAGGATCATACCGGGCGGAATAGCAGTCTCGACCAGCGGTATGACAGATGCATCAAAACCCCAGTCACCTTGCCAACTAGCCATCGTAACACCAGACTTGAAGTGATCGGCAAGATGATCGGTCCTCTCAAGCCATGTATTCATAGTGGTACCGCAAAACCCGCATCTTGACCTGACATCTGGTATAGGCAACATCCAGCGCGCCATCGACCATTCGGAGAATTCGACGCCGTGCACCAAGCGCAGATGCTGAACGAGATGATCTTTCCGATGGAAGGTACGTTCTTGTAAGCTCCTTTCCTGGCATGCCGAGTAGTGGTGCGCTTCGATATGCTTGTCATCCGGTTGCACCTCGCCGCAGAAGACGCAGCATTGCTCTCCGATGGACTCCTTCGTAGTGCGAGAGCCTTGGAGTGCGCAGATCCATCTCTCCAGCGGTAGGTGGAGCGACTTCTCGTGCCTTTGCCAGTCGTACTTAGTCTTGAAGACCTCGGTGCAAAACGTGCATTGGTACGGCATACCGATGGGTGCGGTTCTCTCCGTGTCAAGACGCCGGCGTCGAGTGGCCCGCTTCTTCCGCGGTGCGCGACGTACTTTGAGAGATGTTTGTGACCCTGATGAGCAATGACCCGAGAATTCACTCGATTGGGAAGTTCTTGCACTACTTGCTGAAGACATGGCATAAGGCGATTCCCATGGCTGATGATACGCGAAGTCTCCAGCGTCTTCGTCTACTAGCAGTCAGCATTGCAACCTCATTGCATTGGATAGTCAGTCACTCACGCGAAGTAGAAGCCATCGCACGCGCAATGTCGCCAACAGCAGCAGGTTCATGCTCCGGCGGCGATTCCACCCAACGCTGCATAGGGTCTTTATGATTCGACGCCATTCTAACTGCAGGCGTGCCAGGTCTTGGAATGATATCAACCGGAGAAGAAGGCGAGTTCTTTACTTGCGGCGAAGTTGGACGGACACTTTGCACCTTGCCACGCCGACGAGCATTCGCGAACCAGTTCGTCAGTTGCGCCTTGTTCAACCCCGTCCGGTCTTGAAGAGCCATCATCTCACCCTCGCTGGGGTAGGGATGCTTTTGATGAACAGTAAGCCAGTCTTTGAGCGTACGGATGACTTCTCTGGAGAAGCGACTGCCAAGCTTAGGTCTGGATATCGATGCGCTTGGCGTGTACGGTGACGACGAGGCGGTAGAATGGTTTGATAGATCCAAAAGCGACGGATCCATCATCCAACTTTCATTGTACTGGTTCGGTACCGCATTCGAGGCCCCCAGGGCTTCGGACAAGCCGACGAAGCTGCCATCATCTAAGGCGTGGTCCGAGGCGAACTGGCTATTCTGGAAGGCAAAAAAGGCATCGAGATCAGCTGAACTATCCATATCGATGGTTACTCAAACGTCGCGAAACATGGAGAGAAAGTTTGCGGGGTAGGAGGGTTGGTTCCCTGGGACGCGCTAGATCGTGTTCGTGCTAACCGAAGAAGGGAAAGCGCACATGTCAAGTACGCCTTACTGACACGCTTACCTGGCCAGAATCCTTCAAGTCACGTCAACCTAGGGCAACGCTGAATGGGTTTGCAGCCTACATCAATATGCCAACGTGCAAAGTAGGTGACCCAACGTCGATGCATGTTCCAGACCTATCTCACACAGTGACAAGATGGAGGGAACGTTATTCCATTCCTCTACTTATTCGATTACTTGGTATCCAAAGAAGCTACTTTCGCTTCCGCATCACATCCGCAAGAAGACTCGCAGTCAGCTGAAGCCTACCACTGGAACGTCTCACACTTGACGCTCTTGAACCTGTTCTCCACGCTCAAGTCATCAATCCACTGCTCTCCACCCCTAGAATCAATGCTCATAGGCGACTTGTCCTCTCCACCTCCACAGCCAAAGTCGCGGTACCACTTACAGTACGCGCCGCCATACTGGATGATCGAGATGGGGCCCTGATCCGCGGGAGCAAAGTTGGCGCATTGCTGAATAGCGTTGATGGCGTTGTCGGTGCAGAACTGGTAGTGCGCTTGGTGGCAGACTGTTGTTGAGCCTGGGGGCCAGTCGCGCTTGGTGACCTCGTTCGCAGTCGCCTTAGAAGCTTGACACTCCACGCTCGCGACCAGGTTGGTCTTGACCCCAAACGTAGTGTGATCCGTGGGAGACGATACGTACTGCCACGCTTCGTGTGAGCAGCCGGCTTCGAGGTAATACTTGCACCATGTACCCTTGGCCTGCATGATGAATTGGGACTTGTGGGCGACCTGGGCCGGAAAATCCGTGCATTTATTTTGGGCGTTGATGTACCAGCAGCCGGAGGCAAAGTCTTCGGAGCAGGCGAATACTTCGCCCACTCGGATGACTCTAGGAAGTGTCCATGAAGGTGCCGAGTCCGTGGGGAGAGAATCGCGCTTGGTGATATCGTCGGCGTAGATGGGCCTGTCTACGGCGGTGACCTTTTCGATAGCATGGTCGTGGGGAATGACTTCCAGCTCAGATGTCACACCGGGACCTCCGCACACCACACTCGCGAGATCCTTGAAGAAGGTCCCAATGAATGCAGTCGGATTTCCTGGCGCCGATGTGTGATGGAAAACCTCATCACTATCCTTGCACCCAGGCTTGTTGTAGTACCAACAATACGTCCCCTTAGCCTGCTCGAGGATCATGACGTTGTGGGCGGTGTTCGTAGGGAATTCTAAGCAATCGTTGAGTGCATCCATGATCCAGCAGCTATCGGTTTGCTCATAAGAGCAGGTGAATAGATCGCCGACTGGGAGGTCCACGGGGCTATATCCGTCCCTGGGGTATTGGATCTGGGTATTGGTCAAGTCGGTAGCTGGATCCGGTGTGTTGTCTGCCGAGGCCGCGGAAGTGATGAGAGCTACATTGGACCGAGAACCTTCCTCTCGCGCAATGATCTCGGCGTGGGGCTGTGTATACACACGCATACAAATGACGTGAGTAAGGCTCTTGCCAATCTCCGAGGGCACGTCGTGGATGCCACCACCCCCCTGGTTCGACGCAACAAGAAAAATGGGGCTCTTGGATACATCGCAGCCATCCTTGTAGAACGAGCAGGAGACGTTCTGGGGGACAGCCACAGCGAAGAGATCATGCGCAACAGAGTCGCCAAGCGGGATGCACTTCTTGGCGTCCCAATCGTTGATACCAAGCTGGGAGGTGCTGCTGAAGAAAAAGGCCATGTATCCAATGTCAGCCAGAATTTCTAGTTCTTCTGGCGTAAAGATTGCAGCTTGAGGCTCAGTACGCATGCACATGAAATGAGTAAGCTGCTTGCCAATGTCTGAAGGCACTTTAGAAGCAACATCCCCCTTGTTCGAGTGAAGCTGGTACAGAGGATCCTTGGCTACGTCGCAGCTATTCTCCCAGAACCTGCAGAGGACGTTTTCGTGTACGGCCACGGCGAAAAGATCATTCGCAATGGAGTCGCCAAGTGGGTTGCAGGTATTGGCGTCCTCATCGTTGATGCCAAACATGGCAGTCTTGCTGAATACCCTGGCGATTTCTGGACCCTCCAAGTGTAAAGTCGTCAGTACTGTGCTGTCGACAATGGGTGTAGTAACCGCCTGCGCATCAACAGTGGGTGTAGTTTCCGCTCGGGCATCGACAATCGGTGTAGTAGCCGCCCACGCATTGATTTCAGCATCAAGAGTATGCTTCTTCCCACAAGCGACGTGTGAAATGTCGCGACCAGTATACCCCGGGATATCCACATGCAAGGTACCGGGCCCAACATTAGAAGCGCGGAAAATCGGGAACTTGGCGATATTGCAGGCATTGGTGTAAAACACGCAGAGAATGTTGGCTTCCAACTGTACTCCGACAACGTCATTAGCCACATGCTTGCTGAGCGCAACGCAATCCGCATCGTTGTCGTCGTAGATGTACAAGTCGGCTGTATCGCTGAGGACTCGGGCCATCTTCGTCTTCTGGGCTGCTGGTTCGAGAGATGAATCATCCGCTCGCGCATTGACGTCGGCATAACCATCTTTCTTTCCGCAAAGGACGTGGGTGATCTTCTTGCCAACATCCCCTGGCACGTCTCGAGTGGTGAATTGCTCCTTATCGGTCGAAACGCTGAAGACGGGGTATACAGCTAGGGTGCAATCATTGTCGTAGAACACGCAGAGAGTGTGAGCTGCAACAGTTACACTGGTAACACTGTTGGCAACACGATCTCTTAACATAACGCAGGCTCGGCTGTTTTCCCTGAGGATAGCATGACGACTCGTGCTGCTGAAGATTCTCGCAAGGGTTCCCGAATATGCCGTTGTAGCATCCGCTCGTGTCTCGATCGCATCATGGTTTTTGAATCCGCAAATGACGTGAGTAATGTTCTTGGAAACATCTGCTGGCACGTCTCGACTGACAAACTGCTCCGTGGTGCTTGAAACGGTGAAGACGGGGTACTTGACTAGACTGCAGTCGTTGTCGTAGAACACGCAGAGAGTGTGAGCTCCAATGTTCACCTTGGTAACATTATGAGAGAAAGGGCCTTCGAACTTAAGGCAGGATCGGTCGCGGTCGCTCATGATAGCAAAGTCGCTTGTGGGGCTGAAGATCCTCGCTATGTACTCCCAAGATGCCGTTGTTTCGGAAGCGGCCGCCGGGCTAGCTTCGAGAGGTGTAGCATCCGCTCGCGCATCGATCTCATTGTGTGGGGCAGTCGAAGGCCCGCAGACAGCGTGGGTGATTTTCTTGCTGACATCCGATGGCACAGGAACTTTGGTGTAGGGGGCCTCGCTCTTTGCAGTGAAGAGAGGCTTGAAAAGAGTAAAGCAGCCGCTCTCGTAGAACCTGCAGAGGGTATGATCGACCAAGGCTGCGTGCGTCAAATGACGAGATACCGTGTCCGGGAGTTTGATGCAGAGCCCAGCGAAGTTCTCTTGATACTCAAAGGCGTAGCCGGTATCGCTGATGAGTCGCGCGATGAGCCCGGACGGTTCCTCGACCGCGAAAGATGGCGCCTCGAGAGACGTATCCGCTACTCGAGCTTCGAGCGCAGGAACATCACTCAGTTGGTGGTCGCCCTTGTGACACCAAACATACTTGAACCTAGTGCCGTACTTCGCATCGATCTTGAAGAGGTGTTGCTTATCCAGAGTTTGAGCGGTGTAAATGGGTTCGCCTTTGCAGTCTGAGTGGCGGTCGTTGTAGAATTTACACCTCAGACCTGGATCTTGAATGAAAGAATCGACGTTATACGCGATATCGCTGTTTAGCTTCAGACAGTTACCCAAGAGCTTTTTTTGCATGAGTTGGCCTACGCCATGGCTGCAGACAACCAAGTATTGGTTATCTGGGGACGGGTTCATGCAGGCCCAGGCCGGTAAGACATCGGTGCTTGGCGAGACATCGGTGTCTGGAGCGACTACGATTTCCGGAGCGACAAAGATTTCCGATGAGGAAGGAACATCGACCTCTCGAGCTTCAATCCCACCAACGTCCCTGCGCCACTGACCAATCTTGCACATGACATACTTGATCCGGTTTCCAGCATCGGGTGGAATCGTAAAGCTCTCCTCTTTCTCATAAGTAGTGGAGGACCCTTCGATGTTGCCATTGCACTCGTTGCTGTCGTCGTAGTACCTGCACGTGATGCGCGCATTCTGAGTAAGAGTTTCGACGTGGTACCCAACAGTACTGGTCAGCGACACACATGCGTTCATCCAATTGTTGGGGATGTTGTTGGCGTTGCCATTGCCGCAGATGGACAAGAAGTAGTGGCTCGCATCGGGGTTCATACAGGCGGAGGAAGATGCAACACCCCTGCGCCACTGACCCTGCTTGCACATGACATACTTGAGCTGGTTTCCGACCTGGGGTGGATACGAAAAGAGCTCGATGTCCTCTGAAAGATTGTTGGAGTACGCTTTAAAGTCGCTATTGCACTCGTTACTGTCGTCGTAATACTTGCACATGATGTGCGCGTTCTGAATAACAGTACCAACGTGGTGCCCGACGGTATCGGACAGCCGCACACACGCGTTCATCCAATTGTTGGGGATCCAGTTGGCGTTGCCACCGCCACACACGATCAAGAAGTAGGAGTCCGATCCGGGGTTCATACAGGGGGATGGGGACCAAGATGAAGTGTCTTCGGGTTGGGTGGGGTTGAGGTCGTGGATGGGAAGAGCGTCATCTGCCTCGGCGTGCTTGATGTCTTCTGCTTCCAGGACCGGAGAAGCATCATCATCCCTCACCTCAAGCCCACCACTGCCTGATGAAGTCGGCGCCGCACCGCACTGAACATACTTGATCCTCTTCCCAAGATGGGGGGGAATCTGTTCATGATGCATGATCGTAGCAATGAGAAAGTCGCTGTTGCAGAAGTTGCTGTCATCGTAGAATTTACACATGAGCTCAGGGACCTGAGCCGTGGAAGTGACTTCATACGCAACGCCGCCGGTGAGTACACCGCAGACGCCAGGCCAGGTGTTGGGGATGGTGGAAGCGGAGCCGTGGCTACCACAGATGGTCATGAGCCACTGGTTGGCAGGCTCAGCCATGTTGCATCGGGGAAGGGAGTCGGGTGTGGCGATCGAGGACGGCTGGGAGGTCGGGATGAGGGAGACGGCAGTGGACTCGGGAGTAGGAGCGGCGAAGGCAAGACCAGCGAGGCCGATCAAGCCAGCGACGAGATAGTGAGCGCGCATGATGACTGCCACGTTGAATGTCAGAAATCTCGGTCCTTCCGCGATCGATAAAGTTACTCACCTTTGGCCAATCGCTCGCTCTCAGCGCACTGACGTTGTCGCTAGCGAAGTTGACAGATGTAGTAGCGATTGTAGAGCTTTCGCGCAAATGATGGAGTGGCTCTTGCAGCCAGTAATAGAGGGTGAGTAGGATTGAGAAAGGTAGTAGCTGGGTGGAAGAGAGAAGACAGGAGGCGACGGGTGGGGGATTTTGTCCTTAGTAAGAGAGCGGTGGGAAGGCGCGCGAAAGCCAGGCGAGCGACAAACGGATCCCCAGTGAGTGAGGGGTGGGTGGGAGTGAGACAGCAAGAGGTGACGGGTGGGGGATTTTGTCTACAGTAGGGATAGCGGTGGAAAAGCGCTCGTCGAAGGCCGCCGAGGCCTGCTGAGCAACAAACGGAGCGCCAGCGAGTAAAAAGTGAGAGAAGCGAGACCCTGACAAACGAAGACGACGCCGAGGTGTGCTTGGCCGAATGCGAATATTTTGATCAAGGCGCAAAGCGCATGGCCCAAGACCTTTGCATTCGGATTGCGGCGGTGGACCGCAATCTCATACTACCCGCAAGATATGTGCGTCGTTCTCGCGTGATTACCACATTTCTCCATCCCGCGCAGTTCTACGGATCGAAGTCGTGGTGGATGTCGTACTGGTGTCAATCGAATACACCCTGATATGGCTCCCCTACCCTTCCATTCCGCGCCGCTCTACGGGTCAAGATCGCGGTTAATATTATACTGGCGATACCCAAACCCATCCATCGTGACCCAATGACCCAGCGCCTCCATCTCAGCCCAAACCTTGGGATAATGCTGCTTAATCCAAGCCTCGACACGAGTTTGCCTCTCAATATTAGCCGTGCAGTTGAACCAGCTACCTAGACTGTATATTGTTAACAAAGCCATTAGATTGAAGTTAAGGAGAGAAGTAACGTACATCTGCAAATCAGGAGTAAACCCATACTCCTCCTCCACAGATTCCACCAGCGCCAACGCCTCATCGTGATTATGATTCCGTGCAACAGCGCACATATAAGCTGTCCAAATATTCTTGTCAATCTCGACATCCTGGTCTTTCAAGCGCTTCCAGATGGACTTTGCGTGTTCGGAGCCAAAGTGCATGCCTTCGCTTGATCGGAAGGCGATGGCGAGACTGTTGTATGTGGGGCCCTCTTTTGAATCGCAGATCTCGCGCCAGAAGGAAAGGGCTTTGCGGTTTTCTCCTGTGGCGGCGTATGCGAGCATGAGTGAGTTGCGGAGTTTGGTGTCCATCTCTACGTTTAGGTCGAGTTTGAGTTGGTTGTGCGCTAGTTCGAGGGACTCGGCATCTTGGCAACGGGCGAAGCCGGTGAAGGCTGCGACGTAGACGTCTCTTGTTGCTGTGTGAGTCGGGCTGACGTGGTTGCGCATGTGGAAGAAGACGTGGCAGGCCATGTCGGAACGGTTCCTGGCGAAGAACCCGTTCATGATTGGTATGCGGTCCTCTCGGGGCGTTTCGACGAACACGTTGCGCAAGATCTGGTAGCCATCCCAAGCGTCTGCGGTGCTAGTCTCGCCATCCAGAATGAACATGGAAAGCGCCTTCTGGATGATCGTCCGCTGTTCTGGAGAGTATTGATGCGCGTGTACTTGGAGGAGATCCATGGCGTCGTGGATCTCGCCCCTCCGAAGATGCAACAGCGTCAGCGCTGCAACAGTTTCCGGGGCGAAGCTGGCCTTGCGCTCGTGCAGATCGTCCACCATGGCCATCAACTCATCGAAGTGATGCTGCTTGGACACGCAGAGTGCTTGGATCAGTTCATTGACAACTGCGACACTGCGCTCGTCTCCGGAGAAACTACCCTGCAGGTTGAAGTAGGCAGATCTGGCTCCATCGAGATCGCCGACGGAGATGCGGTATTGCATCTGCATCGTATAGGTCGTTTCGTCGGGATGAATGCCAAACTTCTCTCCCAGTACAATATAGCGCTCCGCCAGGTAAGGGTCTTGCTTAGACATGCAATGCTCTACCAACGCATTGATGGTCTCGGTGTCTGGGCGGATTACAGGGACTTTGGGATCTTTTTGCCGTGCTTCGTCATTCCTGCGAATCAGCACGTTGATCATCCGAGCGATCTCATCTGGACCCTTGCCGATAGCAGCAGACCAGAGAAAGATTGCGTCCCACTCAGGCTTCGAGGGCATGTCAACCTTGAGCATGCTCGCTACCACCTGCTGACCATAGGTAAGATCGCCCGCTGCGGCGCAGGCCTTTAGCAGAGCAGAGCTGGTGCCGCCCGACGGCTGCGTAACCTGGTGGCCGACTTTGGTGTGAACGGGTTGCGAGTACCAAGATTTGGCTTTTTCCAGGTCTCCACGCTCAGCGTAGAATGCAACTAGTTTATTCTGCGCAGGCCTGGTCAATGGAACTGAGGCTTCTGTGAAAGCATCCACCGTTTTCGAGACCTCGGTCAGACTGTTCTCCCGGATGATTCCTCCAAGCACTGTGTTCCAACTAGAGACCACGGCGCCGCGGACCAAGGCATTCGCTGTCTTGTCGTATTTGAACGCACTGATCGCGATGTCCCTTGCTTCAGTAGCCGCACCGAACGCGGATAGAACTTGGATATGCCTCGAGTCGATGTACATCTTAAAGGGGACCTTCAATTCCTTCGTCTTCTTCTCTCCAGCTTTTTCGAGCTCTTGCTCCTCGGATTCTGCCAACTCATCGACAACGAGCCGCCCAAAGACCATGTGCGCTTTCCCTAGAGTTTCCGGTCGCTTCGACGTGTCCAGTAGCTTTTCTAAGATATTATCCAGGTCATTTAGGCTCAACCATGGCTTCCCGTCTTCACTCGGATTCTCCAGCAGATAAGTGAGGGCATCATGCGCGATCACCACATGCCAATCCTCAAACGTCCCTTTTCTCTGCGCAAAGAACTCCTTGATCGCATCCGCAACGTCCTTGGGTGCCGGCGGTCTGAGATCATTCGCCCGCTTATACGACACCTCAGCCATTGTATTCAGACCCGGCGGCGCCTCTGCAGGCTTGAGCTTCCGCTTTTGCTTGAACAGCTCCCCGAAGAAAGTCCGCCGTTGCGTCTGGGGAAGTAATCGGGCCCCATGTTGGGTGATGACGCGGGGTCGGACGGCTCGGTAGCGGCATCCTCGGTACAGCAGAGGCTCGTTGGCGATGATGTTGCGGAAGACGATGCGGGTCAAGTGCGAGGGCATGGCGGCGGCGACGTTCGCTAAGCGCAGGACAAAAGTGTGGTGACGTAGGTTTGGCGTGCAATTGGCGCACAGTGGAAGGGGTATCTAGGCGAAGAAGGCGTCCATGGGGTGGAGGAAGGCGCACAAACGGTATATACACGAAAAAGACGAGATGGAAGCGGGATCCAGTGGCGGCGACGGGGAGTGAGGGGAGCAATTGCGGGAGCTCTTGCCTGCTGTGAAATCCAATTGCGCTAAGAAAGTCAACTTCCGACCGCCGAGGCCGCATCTCGAAAAGTCACGACGGCAGCGACGACAGCAACACCACCACAACCGCCAACATGTCAATAACACGGTTACCACTGCGGCCGCTGCCGTCTGTAAGCTCGACATGCATGCGCTACTTCTCCACCGGGTCCCATAAGCAAGGTGCGCCCAATTCCTCTCCCACACATGCCCCGTCTCGAACACCCTCTAACCGCTCCCAGGCCCCCAAGACGGCATCCTAGACATCCTCGCGAGCAGCACCGCCGCCGCCCGCCCACCCCCAAACACAAACACCACGCGCCCACGCACCGGCCCCTCCCTCACAGGCATGGCCTCAACCATGGGCCTCTCCGCCAACATGCCACGCGAAGTCCTCGAATCCGACCGCGCGGCCCAATACCAACGGCAAATCTACCGAAAATGGCAACCCGGCGACGTCTACGCGCCGCACGACCTCTCGGGCACCGAGCAAAAGAAGTGGAAGTACGGGCGCAAGAAGCCGCAGCAAGACGCCTTTGATGTGTTGGGCATAAATCCGATTTTGGAGTATAAGAACTTTACGATGATGAGCGAGTATATGACGGAGATGGGGAGGGTTAAGCATAGCAAGGATACGGGGCTCCGCCCGAAGAATCAGAGGAAGGTTGCCAAGGCGATTCGGAGGGCGATTGGGTTGGGGTTGATGCCGAGTGTGCATCGGCATCCGTTGGTGTTGAAGAAGAGTAGTCCGTCGAGGTTTTTGTGAGGGGTAGTGGGGTTGTATGTTTGATATTTCAAGACGAATGATAGGAATGTGGTATTCAATGCGCTCATATTGATCCGCAGTGGAAGCAAGATTACCCAGCTAAACAAAACCATAATCTGCGAAACGGCCAGCGCGAAGACCAATGATCTCCCTACCCCAACTAATACCCCGTCTCATTCTTCCCCTGCCTCTCAATCCACAAGCTTATCATCTTCTGCTGCGCATGCACAATCTCCATCGCATAATCCTCATCATAAAGATCATACCACCCCGGACTCTCATGCGGCGGATCCCCCGCCCAAACCATCCCAAACGCATTCGCCTTCTGCGTCTCCGGTCTCCAGATCCCGCCATACGCCCACGGACTCGTCCCAATATACGCACCCCCATTCCTAAACTCATCCATAACCGCTCCGATGATCGTTGTGAAATAGGCGTCCTTGTGCGTTGTGCTCGCGTCACTGAGGTACGGGTATTCCTTGTCTTCATTCACCCAATTATCGCGCGCCATGCCGAATTCCTCCAGGAAAATTGGTTTCCCAATGTCCATGGCCCATTGACTGCTGTTCTTCATAAAGTCACGCGCAAAATCTTGGGCAGCGACTAGATTCGCGTCGCTGGCGTTGTACATGTCATACACGCCCCAGTTCTGGACCCAGCAGTGGGTTGTCGCGTAGTCGACGGTGGAGAAGTTGTGCACGCGCTTGAAGTAGTATTCGCCTTGCTTGCTTTCCAGACCGACGCTGATGAGCTGCTTGGGGGCTAGCGAGCGGATGTAGGCAGAGATGCGGTCGACCCAGGGGAAGAGCAGGTCGTTGGGATTTGGCTCGAGGAAGATGTTGTAGGGGCCTGTGTAGCCGAGTTGGTCGGAGGGTTGGGGCTCGTTGGCGAGTTGCCAGGTCATGATCGTTGGGTCTTCGGTGTAGAGGCGGCCTGTGATGGTGTTGCGTCGGGACATGACGGTCTTGATGTGGTCTTTGTACCATTGCTCGGCCTGCGTGTTATTGTAGATCAGGTTGGCGAAGGAAGTGAACTCGTCGTATGGAGCTGCGTTGACGCCTTCGACAGTGTAGTTTCCCCATCCGGTGCCAGGTGTTTCGCGCTGGGGTGGTGCAGTCTGGTTCCAGCTTGACGGATACGGGATCGCGGTGTTGTTGTTTGCCCATGATACGTACTGGGCGAATCCACCACTCCACTGCCACTCGTTGTTGAGTGTCATGGTGGCGCGCATGCCGCGTTTCGACATCTCAGCAAGACAGATATCAAGTCCTTCAAAGACGTCCTCGTTGTACTGGCCGGGTGACTCCATGAGTGCTGGGTTCATTCTGAAGGGCTGGGGCGTTGGAGCGCCCTCAGAGGCAGCCATGATGCGAAGGTGATTGATCCCTTTAGCAGCCATCTGATCGAGCTCTGTAACCAGTCGCGAGTAATTGCCACCTGCTTTCGGACCTGCGGCAAGATTCATGCAAGCCCAGTAGTTGATGCCTTGAATATGTCAGCCCACAACTTCTAGGGGAGAAAAGGATATCCTTACCAGTAAGATAGTACAATCCATCGCCATTATACAATCTCAGCCCATCCACATGGACAAAGTCGCCGTCCGCAATCGCACTCCCATTGTGGCTCCCACCCCCTCTCGGCAGCACAGAGCCCGCAGCCAACGAGGCGAACAACACCTGAGTCGCGACTTTCATCTCGACAATCCAAAGATAAGAATATGGCTTAAACAAGCCATTACCAAAGGCTCACATCAAAGCTTATATATCCATCCGCCTATCCCGAAGCCGCGGTCCGACTATGCATACATACTACGTCCCCAAGTGCCGGTTGACATCATATGCGGAGCAAGAACACCCCGACGATGCTACCTTCTCCATCGGAGTGGAGATCGTCGCTGTGCGATTGAGCGAGGTGTGGTAGTTCTTCCGGAAGCCATTGCACGATTATCGATACACACGCGTATAGAATGGTCGTGACGAAATGGCTCGGAGTGTGGATCTCCGTTGTAGCGTTGGAGTAGTGTGCTGATGGATGTGGGTCGCCGGCGTTGGAGACAGTTGCCAAGCCCCGAGGTGCCGACGTCTGTTAAAAATCCGTGCGCAAGCTCATGACCTCGATACCTCTGGCGCTGGCGCCGTAGTCCTACGTATAATTCCACTCCGGCTGTCACGACCAACTCTTCAACGATCACGACCAATCCTCCACCATGGACGACGACGAGAACGACGAGATCGCAGCGGCCATGGGCTTCGCTTCCTTTGGCGGGACAAAGAAACGCAAATTCGACCACACCGCCTCGCCAAAAGCTGGACCTGATGCGAGCGGCGCCAACTCCACCAAACTGGGTGTCAGATCGAAGAAAGTTGCCAACGAAGACGAGATCAACCTCGACGACGCTGTCTCCGACGCTGTATCCGACTTGACAAACCCCACGCCGCAACCCCACAAACCTGCGCCGGGTAAAGCAAAGAAGAGCCAACCCGCCGACTCTGGTCTGGCTGCTTTTCTAGCTCGCGGCCAGAACCTACTCGAGAAACCGGCTGCCACCGAGAGCAGCACTCCAAACCTTGCGATGTCTGGCGACCCGCCCGCGGCAGAGATGGTATCATTCGGCGGTCCAGCAATCTCCAGGGCTGAACTGAATGCGCTGCGTCATGGCGTGAGAATGGAGAACGGAGATACGGCATACTTTCTACCGAGCTTTGTTGAGGATCCCTGGGCGAGGCTGGGGAAGGGTGGGAGTGGATGAGAGGATCTGTCATAAACCCTACGAACAGCGCTGTGGAATGAACATGGGAGAGAAGTCGGGTTATGGTCACCGCGCAGTCCTCCTCACATCCCTCCTGGTATACCGCAACATCCCTTGTGGATACGCAAGCAGCACGAACATCCTTCTCGTAATTAGCGATGCAAATGTAGCATCTCCTTATTCAACAGGAGTAAGGAAATGCTACACTTGCATCGCTAATTAAGAGAAGAGCGCAGCGCAATATCTACGCAGATCCCCAACCAGCAACAACATCCTTCTCGTGATTGGCGATTAAGGACTTTCATCTCCATATTCAACAGGAATATGGAAATGCAAGTCCTTAATCGCCAATTGAGAGAAGAGCGCAGCGCAATATCGACGTTGATACGCAAGCAGCAACAACATCCTTCTCGCAATTGGCGATGTAAACCCCCATTGTAGGATGTATCCTGTTGGATACGCACAATGCACGCTTACATCGCCAATTGAGAGAAGAATGAGGAACAGGCATAGACTTCCTTGGCAGTCAGGTAGTCATCAGCGCTGTCTCATCCTCTTCCTCTTGGACGATCGTCTGTTATAGCATAACGGGGAGCGTTCAAGAGGAAGAGGATGGGAAGGTGATGATGACTGCCTGCCTGCCGTGTTGGGTGTTGGGTGTTGGACTGCGGAGGAAGGAGTGGGGATTTGGAAGGCTGAGTCTTTAAGTGGTGATGCAGAAATTTGAGAAATCAAATTTTTGCATCGCCACTTTAAAGGCTCTTCTGTGACATTTCCATGGGCAGTCCATCAACACGGCAACGTATTCGTGATCTCTGGACATTGTGGAGGGCTGGGACGTCTTTAAGAGTATAGCAGAGATTGAAAACAATACAAGAATGTCTTCAGGAGATGATAGCGCTGGCCTTGCAGGATATCAAGCCTTTGAGTTCTTTACTTTAGTCCCCGGAACGCCTCCGCACCCGGGGCGGCCGATCGCGAAGAGTAGCCTCGCTCTTGTGTGGCTTGCGTCCAGAACGCGTCCGCACGTGCTTTCCAGGGGTCGCGCCAATCACCCGCTGCGCTACTCGCTCGCCCTCATCAACTTCATCCTGCGCAATGTCTTTTTCTCCACGATGGCTTTTAGGTCCTGTTTATGGGCTGATGTTCGCGACTGCCTAGTCAATATGCTTTTGAGAAGGGAGCTCGATGAGTGCGCTTGTGGCTTTTCGGGAACGCTTGCGTGAGGCTATCGTGGAATGCAGGTACGCGGGCAAGCCACTTCGGCTTCGAGCTTTTAGAACTTTACTGCCATCTTGTGTGCACATGCTCGTTAGCTAAAAGGATAGATATATACCTATGCGGCTCCCAACTCTTGTTAGGACACTCGTCTCACTCTCTACGGGCACCTCACCAACAGTCATTCCCTCGCTCGTCGTCAATCTGTCGCTCCTTCAATACAGCATAATCCTTAATAATTAATACCAGCCACCATGCGCTGGACATTCCTCCTCTCCCTTTCGGCAGCGGTAACGCTTGCCGCTGGCAAAGTATCGACGAATGCGCGTTGCGGAAACGCATACAATGCCTTGCCAGGCGGCATGACCTGCAAAGGTTCAAAGTGGGGTGATTGCTGCTCGCAATATGGCTACTGGTATGCCATCTAGCCTTGATCTCGCAGCTCGTTGACTAACGTTTTGTGCAGTGGAAAGACGAAAGACTACTGCGGAACTGGATGTCAGTCGTCGTTTGGTACTTGCAATGGCGTCGTCGCACCAGCGCGTACGTCGACAACATCTAGCCGCGTCAGTACCTCGACCTCGACACGAACAGCTTCGTCGACAGCACCTTCTGCTACCCCGGCAAAGGTCAAGGTCACTACCAATGCTCGCTGTGGCAACCTGTATGGAGCGTCGCCAGCGGGAATGACCTGCTCAGGTGGGAAGTACGGCGACTGTTGCTCACAGTACTCATACTGTGGGAGCGGAAGCGCATACTGCGGAACGGGCTGTCAGGCTGGATTCGGAAAGTGCGATACTGTTTCGTCCTCTGCCAGCTCTCCGACTTCCAGCTCTAGCTCCTCCAGCTCCAGCTCCAGCAGCGCTTCGTCCTCTAGTTCCACTTTACTTTCCACGTCGACAAGCGAAACTACCACTAGCACCACTTCAAGCTCGTCGACTTCTAGCTCTAGTACCGCTACGTCCTCTAGCTCCTCCCTAAATTCTGGGTCGACCAGCGAAACGACCACCAGCACCGCCTCAAGCTCGTCATCAACCGACGAATCCTCAACGTTACTTTCCTCCAGCTCGTCTTCCGGAGTCTCCGTAACTCCCGAGACAGCAACCTCCACGATCACGTCAACACCCATACCCTCCCCATCTACCGCGGAGTTCTGCGGCACAAAAGGCTACATTAAAGAACAACCTTCCACCTTCACAAGCAGCCCTTTCACAACTATCGAGGATTGCCTGGCCAACTGCCGGGCTGAGAGTAGATGCGGCAGTGTAATCATCTCTGAGAGCGGGTGCTATCTCAATGAGTCGCCTATCACCAGTACAAACATCGACCTTGGGCCAGGATCCCCTCTGACATTTTACAACCGCGAGTGCGGAATCAGCACCCCGGTGACAACCGCGCTGCCTTCAACACTAGCAACATCTACAACCTCATCAACGCCCGTTCCTTCTCCGACTGCTGCTGAACTCTGTGGCGTAGAAGGATACAATGTCGAAGATGTCCAGATCCTAAACACTTCGCCATTTACAACCACCGAGGACTGCCGAGCAAGATGTCTCGCCGAGGATACCTGCGCCAGCTTCATAACTTACACGAGTACATGCTATCTAGCCAAGGTACTATTCACTGCTGCAAACGTAAGACCTAGTGTAGGAACTGGTCTAAAGTTCTTCAACCGCGATTGCAAGACCGGTGCCCCGACAACTACAGAAACACCTACCACATTGGCAACATCCACAATGACACCATCTTCCACAGCGACACCAATTTCCACAATGACGCCAAGTTCCACAACGACACCGACGCCTACACCCTCCGTCTGTGTCCCCGCCGCGCCAACAGTATCCTGCGTCAAATACCCCAACTGCCCACAATTCATCACCCCCTTCTCCAACGCCTGCCCCGCCAACAACTCCCAATGCAAAGATAACTATTTCGTCCGCTGCGGGAACATCCCCGCCGCCGGCTCCCAAGTTATCCTCTCCATTGGCAGTATCCCAAACGCAGACGTCTGCCGTCAACGGTGTGACGCGTTGAACAATTGCTCAGCGTTTGCGTTCAAGTCCTCGAATTGCATCCTGTATAGCACAATTAATGGGTTCATCTCGGATTCTGCGACTACTTTTATTAGAATCTGTGCGGATAGTTGTGCTGCACAGCCGGTCAAGAGGGGTGAGGAGGAGAAGGGTAGTGACAAGTCTGTGAGTATCGCGAAGTGGACGCAGGGCAAGCAGGGTAGGCAGAGGGGACCTAAGGATACTTAAAGGTATATCATCGATATACAACAGCCCGGTCATTCCAAAGAGATGATACTTTTCACATTTCCCCACAATAGATACTTTCATATCAAATTCTAAACTCAGCTTCGAAGTCCCACACACTCTCTTCTCAACACCCATCCCCCCCTCTTCTCCCCTCTCCCTCCCCCCATACTCCTCTCAAGAAAAAGCAACCCACGCCCCGCACACCCACGCCTCAACCGCAAGCACAAACCCCGCAATCGCCATCCCACTCCCCACCCTTTGGCTAAACTCCTTCCGTGTCAATTTCCCCTCGCCGGCACCAACTAGAATCCATGCTGCGGCGGCGAGGAGGCTGATGAGCAGGAGGATGCCCATGACGAGGAGGATTCGTGGGCGGGAGAGGGTGTATGTGAGGTGGAGCGTTGGGGTAGTTGGATGGGGGGATTGTGGGCGGGAGGTGTTGCGGCGAGCCCAGGATATCCAAGTGTAGTTCTTTCGTCCGGTTTGGGGTGTTTGGTACAAAACCATTAGGTCGTCCGAGGAGGGCGTTGCCGATTGACTATTTTGCGGAGAGCGAAGCGCAGGATGAACATCGCGGTCGTCCTTGTTATTGCCGTTGCCGTTACCGTTGCCGTGATCCCATGTACTTCTTCTCTCAACATGTATACCACTCAACGTCCTCGCGCTAAACGTCCTCCGGAACCAATTACCCGCCAACTCGCGATTCGCAGCCCTGAGCGCCAACGCGAACGCTTCGTCATCGAAGTCGGCGGAGCGCTCTTTCCTTTTCATTTTAGGGCTGTGGTCCATTCTCTTTTCGCTATTGCAGTTGCTGATGCTGCTTTTGGTATAGCTGTGTTTCGGCGTCCAAGCCGAGGCGTACGTTGGAATGACGACTCTGGCCAACCTCTCTTCTCTTCCTGGTGATAGGCCAGCCTGCTCTTCATCCACGTTACCACAAGCGCATGCACATCCCCCCCTCCCCATACCCCACGTCCACCTCCTCAACCCAACCAAAACAACACCACCCTCCTCCATACTCACCCCTCCCCTCTCACCTCCACCTCCCCGTCCCCTCTCCTCAGCACTCCCCCTCACAACCCCCTGCGCACTCTCATTCCTCTCCCTCCGACTCCTCATATCACATTCCTCCCCATTCGCATTCCCCGTCATAAGCCCCAGAACCTCCTTCCCCTTCCGATCATCATACGGGCTCTTCGGCTCATCTGCAAACGGAAACGCACTCGTGCAGCACGAGTTCAACCGCGTGTAATCCTCCGTCGTGCGGTTCGAGAGCGAGAAGTTGAGGGCCGAGAGGTGGGAATCCAGTATAGTACTAACATGGTTTTGCGGGATATAGCTAGGCTTCGGGATGAGGAGGTCGGGGTTTGTGATTGTGGTATTAGCGGTATTAGGGACGGAGAAGGGGTTGGGTGATTTGATGGCTGGGGAGTAGATTTGTGCGGTGCGGTGGCGGCTCGCTCTGTCGTCTTGGTCTCCATCGCCGGTTGATAGGGGGGATAGGGTCACATGGCGGTTTGCGGAGAAAGAGGTGGATTTGGGCCAGGAGGTTGTGGAGGCGGAGTGCAGGTATGTGCGGCCTGCTGCGTTTGTCATGTCGCTACTGACTCGAGGGTCTATACTCCGTGGGTCTGAACTCAGGGCTTCGAGGGCGCGCATCGTCATGACGTGGGCGTTGATGATGGAGTCTGCGAGGACGCTGTCTGATGTGCTGTTTGACGACGCGGTCCTTCTGTGTTCTCTTCGAAACGTCGGGCTTTGCGGTAGAGCGGTGAGTGTATCCTCTAGAGGTCCTGATGTAGAGAACGGTGCTGAACTGGCCGAGGCCATGAGCGGAGAGTTGGGCAAGGACATGTTGCTGCGTAACGAATGTCTCGGCGAGTCGATACTGGATCTGATAGACCTGTTATCCACCAGGCGCACATTGTCCTTGTTCAGACGCGTCAGAGACATCTTTCGTGCATGATTGGTTCCTCGACCAGAAGCTCGCTCATCGCCGGTTCCGCTATCATCAGTTCCAGAGCCAGAAACATCTGCAAGATCTGCGAGTCTGGGCAGCGAGGTAATGGTACTGCGTTGCCTATTCCTTCCGCGCTGCGTATTCTCAACGTCGCCGTGGATGTCGTACGGAATGTCTCTCAGACCCGGCCCTTGGCTTTCAATTGGACTCTGTATCGTTTTGCTCATCCTGTCCTCCCATTCTGATTCCGAAGAGAAATCGTCGAAGAAGTCGGCACGATGACCTAGCGCTTTCTGCATCGTTTCGCTGACGTCAGGATAGACTGATATTCGTCTCTTTTGTAAAGCTTCGACAACGCGTGGATATGCTGCCAAGGTAGGAGACAGTCTTTCGAAGGGGTGCTCGAGGAAGATGGGATGAGCCTTGTCTGATTCAGCGGTAGAAGACACGGGGTGCTGGTTAAGAGGCGAGAACTTTGGCGCAACAGATCTCGAGATCGATGGTGTCCGGGTTCGCGCAGTCTCCATTGTCATATCTCTCAACACCTCGATTCATCACCGAGGTTAGCCAATCTCCACACGTCATCAGGACATCCCGTCCACCTCTTAATAGTATCGACACGATAATCCCTGAAACACATACAGGACGAATACGGGAGATATAGACGAGGACAAAGGCGAAGCAAGGCATATTGACGCGGGGGGTGGTGGCGACTAGCGGAGGATTGTAGCAAACAAAGGCGGTATGCACCTGGTACTGCATGTCTACATCCGGCGCTTTACCAGGTCCATGACAGCGGTAGCGATCGCAAGGCTTTTGTCATCTTGGCCGGCTTTTGGTTGGGCGGGAAGAGTGGACTGCGGATGCAACCGCATTCCGATGGGCCCTGGCTTGCACAGACCACACATGGCCGCCCAAAACCGGTACTTTGGACAGAGGAAAGATGGGTATGTGAGAACAGTATCTATTGGCGAGTGGGACGAAGGGTGGATTTCGCCCAGAAAGCCCCTTGCTCTATATCTAAGCGCGGAGGCGAAAACTAACAACGCCATATGCAATGCCACCAAATCGTTCGTGATCAACATGAGATGGACATGGAGTATGAAAGAAAAGCGAATCCGAAAATTGTAGGAGGACTGTGGCGAGTCCCTTACTCGCCGTCGCGGTCGAACATCTTCGTCATTGCCTTTTGCGCAAGCTCTACACCGGCAAAGGTGGCTGCGTTGGCAGGTACTGCTCGTGCCATGGCTGGGCCAATACCAGGGAAGAAAGCCTTGAGACCACCGCTCGCGTGGATGCCCTTGATAGTTCCACTGATTGTTGGTCGGCCTTCGGCACTTTGCAACCGCGACTTGATGGTGTCAACTGGGAAGACGGGTATCCACATGGCGATACCGGCAGCACCACCAGCAACCATGACGGCGCCCATACTCAGCGACCCCGGCTGACCGGTGACGGGATCTTTTGGCGTGAGACTGCGCTTGACGGTCTCGTATGTCGCAAAGTAGAGGGCTGATCCAGGGCCGTCACGCGCCAGTGTCATGGCAGAGCCGCGGTACACTGACTTGATGCCGCCCTCTTTGTATAGCTGCTTGACCACATCCATGCCACCAGCGTATTTTGGCTTCTCGCCAGGCGCCAGGTTCTTTTGTCCCTGAATCTGTAGGAGCACCTTTACGCGCTCGAAGGGTGCGGTGATGATGGTCATGGGGATGGCGCTGAAGAAACCGGCGGCGGAGACTTGTGCGACGCTGAACTGGTTGTTCTCGACCTTGGATACGCTGGATACGAGTTGTTTGCCGAGATCATAGCCCCAGAAGGACACCGCGACTGTCGAATGTCAGCCTAGGTTATTCATATACTGGTCCTCCTGTACTCACACATGGGCGTTACACCAACAAGCGGCGCAGAAACACCTGCATACAGCCCCCTCGCCAGTCCTTCCTTTGCGATGGTTTTCCGCACAACGTCCATAGCCCCGCTGTAGACGCCCTTCTCTGCCGTCTGCATGCGCACCTTGACCAGATCAAAGGGATGGCCGACCACAACAGCAAACACTCCACCCACACCTCCCGCTAACAGCGCCCGCAGCGACTGCAGCGAAGACTTAGACGCTGCCTTGACATCTTCTTTTAGCTCGGCCGTGTTGGGCAGCTTCTCAATGACCGAATCCGCCGTGTTTGACATGGTGGGAGCTGTAGTGGGGTCGCGTGGGATGGACAGGCGCGCGTAGAATCCGGATAGACGTAGTCGAGGAAGGTATGAAGACCAAAGAAGCCGTCTGGAGAAAGAAGATACCTACGCGACTGCTCCCACAATGCGATGAAGAGCGAAAATGCGTGGCTGATGTGGGCGAGAGCGGATTCGGGTTTCGCATGTGCAAGCTCCAGTGCTCCGGAGAGCTGGCGCTGGGCCTACGTCGGTCCAGCGTTCGGCTGTCCATATGCCGAGGCTGATCGGCGCCGAACAACCGCGCACCTCGTGCGAAAGCCATTGACTGAAGAACGTCATGTGAGGGGTGTGAAGTGCCAAGTTCATCAGGAAGATGGTGTTTGGTTCGCACGGATGAAGAGAACGAACGGAAGGAGCCTTACATGTGCAGAAGGAGCAATGTGGCTTCACATACAGAATGCTTGATTCTTCGGTCGAACGGCGCGAGACACACACTATGGCAGCCGGTGAACTCGCGATGCTGGCATTGTCTGTCACGTATTCTACTATTCTCGTCATATTCAGAGACATCTACGCATAATCTCAATATTCGCTATACCAAACTCTTAGTTTCTCGTCATCTCTCAACATGTCTAGTCGGTTCCTCCATAACACTCGCGCCTGACATCAAAGCGCGGAAGAAAACACCTAACAATCACAATATTCATCACCCGCCTCACAGTCAAGCGCACGAGATCTTTCTTCCTAGCAAACATATTCCATATATATATCTGCCCCTACCGCACCTCTCTCTTCCCTCCCCTCACATCAACATTCATCAACACACATCTCTGGGGTGTGCATCACACCAGCGCTACAACCTGGACCGTGGGTCTCCCAAAGGGTTTACACGGTAGGAAGGGTCCGTAGCGGGAGGCTCTTGAAAGGGCCGGTTAGCAGAGCGGTGGGGCTGTTCAACACTGGGGGGGTGAGGTGTGGCTTTGATTCCCTGTCCTTTTCACCTGTTCTACGAAACATTTGAGACGAAGAGCTGACATGGCACAGGTGTATGAGGACTGACTACCAAAAGCGGGGTCGTTGCATACGCGGTCCGATGTCGAAGAGAAGAGAAGAGATTCCGGCACGAGACCAGAGAGACACAGATGGAGATGTGTGCCGGCGTTGTGTCGAACCCGTAAGAAGTTGAAACGGGTGTACACGGTAGGAAAGATATTATAGGGACGCTCTTGATCGGGCTGGTTGGTAGAGAGGTGGGGCTGCTGACATGAGTGCGAGGTATGTTTTCTCTCCTTTCCTCTTTTCTTTCCCCTTCTTGCTGCCTTCTCGGCCCAGGATACATGATGACTTGCTAACATCACCAAGCTTCCCAGAGAGGAACGCTGCAGCTCATGGTGGTCTTCAGAGAGGAATTACCCCGGAAGCGATAGCCCTCAGAGAACGGCATCGCAGAGTTCGCGACGGATTCTCCAAAGAGAGAATTGTTTTACCTGGGCGCCCAGGTCGAAGGGGTCTGTATCAGACCAGTAACCTCGAGAGGGGTCTCGTCTCAGCCCACTTGTTGAGATACCCTACCACATGGCACCGCGTGGTCAAAGGCGTCAAGACAAGAAGGCTGGAATGAGACTCCTCTCTAGGTTGGGGCTTCTTAACGGAAGCGGTTGGGGGAGCGGAGGGACCCTCGACGTATGTATGTCTTTTCGTTCGCTTTGACTCGGCTTGTCTGGGGGGCTGAAGAAGAGATGGTGTCACCATGGGGATGTGGTTTCTCGTCGCGTGGGTTGAGATGCGCATGCACTCAGGATGCAAGACAAATCCAGTCGAAAGCTGCTTTCAACCTTTCACTATCCCAACCTTCCCGCGCCTTTACCCCACGAACTTCACTGTACACACACCAGGCATCAGCACCTCCACACCACCGCCTTCACTGTACATACACCAGGCAGCAGCCCCACACCCCCACCCCGCTCCTCTCCCCTCCCTCCTCCCCTCTCCCCTATATATATTCCTCCTCCCCCACCCACCCCTTCTCTTCTCCTCCCCTCTTCAAACTGGCGTCTGCAACAGACCAGTCCCTCGAGACGGAACTCTCCACGCGTTTGATCCGACAGATTATCACGTGTCACCAGGAAAGTTTACGACCGGCCGGCGTAGCTCTCCAACGGTGACACAGATCGTTTGTCTGACGAGCGCGTGGGAGTCTGATTTCGAGGGGGGGCTTCTTGACGGGAGCGGTTGGGGGAGTGGTGGGACCCCCAACGTGTGTGGTGGATATATGGGTTCTTTTCATTGGCTTCCGCGGCTTGTCTGGGGTGCTGAAGAAGGGGTTGTGTGGTGATGCAGACGGAAGTGATTACACCACATTGCTACTAACTAGACTTGCATGTGTCAAAGAGCGAAAAACCATGCTTGGAAACAATCTCACTGCGTACCGAGTGTAATGAGAGTTCATTTTCTAACACCGACAGCGCATAGTATGCGACAGATGACTTCACAAGTCAATCAGCTTGTCTAAATATCTTGCATTGCAGATCATCGAGCACGCATGATCAAATTCATCATTAACATATATATACTGAGTACCTACTGCGCGAGAACACGCCTTCTCCGCTCTCTGCTACATAAACCCCTCTGGGCATTCCTTCACCCAAACGAATCTAGACATTCTTCCTACTACTCTGTTCACTACTACCGATACTTCGCGCGTCTTCCCCATCTCAATCGAGAGACGCGACCTCCACCACCTCCCCTCCGCCTCCCCTCCGCCTCCCCTCCGCCTCCCCCACCCACCCAGTCTGCATGCAGACCAGCATACCTACCTGACAGACCTCGCCGGAGGTTTTCGACCCTCCAAAACCCCATCCCATGCCATCCTTTCGATAGCTACACGCAAACAGATGTACTGGTGTAGTTTAATCTGATGGCTTGCGACGGTTTAGGTGGGCACCGAGGCTGATTCCGAGATAACCTTGATGGGGGTGGGGCTTTCCTGGACGGGGGCGGTTGGGGGAGCGGTGGGATCCTCGACGTGTGTGGGTGTGTGGGTTCTTTTTCTTTTCGTTGGCTACCTTGGCTTGGCTGGGGGGTTGAAGAAGAGAGGGGATAAGTATAGACGATCATTAATTGTAGTCATTATTACTATCCCAATCAGCCATGTATGCCTGCCCTATCCCATCCATCATTATACAAACCCAAATATTTCCTTAAATATAACCAATCAGGGGAATCGTAAAAAGAAGATCATATGCCACCACTGTGCTCTGAAATCGAGATGCAGTCTCAATCCCTATTAATAACCCTCAAACTCCTCCTCGGATTCAACAACACACCCCTCGCCCCCCAAAAGCTCGGCTCTTGGCCATCCAACAACCCATCCACAACACTCCCCTCACTATTCCTCCTGCCCCACCTATCCCCCTCCCCAGGCCCGCCATACGCCGTCGTAGGCATCGGCACCGCATCACTCCCCCTCCTCGTAATATCAAAGCTACCCGCCGCAACACCACCATGGCTACTTCCCCCCAGCGTACCTGGCGGCCGCTCACTACTGTTCTTGCCCGAGCTACTAGTAAAAGTGCCCTGTTTCTCCGCATTCGCACGCGTCTGCACAGCCGCAGCGTGCGACTTCCAGATCTGGACTTGGCGGCGGTAGATCCAGGCGCAGAAGGCGAAGTAGGCGGCGATGATGAAGAAGACGCCTGCGATTACGCCGGCGACGATGGCGGCGATGTTGGGGCCGCTGTCGCCCGAGGAACTGCCCTGTGGGTTCCCGTTGATGACGTTGGTGATGGTTGCGCCGTCGGGACCCGTCATGGTGTAGGTTTGGGGTTTGCCGGTTGCGAGGGGGCCTTGGGTGGGTGTTTGGACTGGGGCGGTGAGGGTGGCGCCGCCGGTTGCTGCGCCGCCGATTACGCTTTGGACGGCTTCGGGGACGGCGTAGCCGTAGGAGCCTTCGATGCCGGCTTCGACGCCGAATCCGCGCTGGTTGATTTGTTGGGCGAGGGGGTTGCCGGTGCTGCCTTTGTCTTTGGAGTTGTAGCCTTGGAGCGCGTTTTTGCCTGTTACGGCGGTGAACTGGTCGCTCCAGCCTAGGCTGCTCATGTTGAAGACGTAGATGCCGGGCGCGTCGCAGCCGAGGTCGGTATTGTAGCCTCCTAGGACGATCATCTGGTGGTCCCAGACTTGGCAAAGATGTCCGGCACGTGGGGGAGGTATGCTGGCCTTGTCGGTGCCTTGTTCGACTTCGATCCAGGAGAATGATGGCACGGAAAGGATCCACATGTCGTCGCGCTGCGTTTGGGTGTCAAGCTTGCCAGGTTCATTGAGATCTTGACCGGCGAACATGTAGATGTTGTACGATGAGCCGCTGGACATTGTTAGCAAGGATTGCGAGTGATAATGAAAGTAGGGTGTACTCACTCTGCAGCAGCTCCTACAACTGTACATGGGTTGACTCGGTACTTCGGCGTCTTGCCAGAAGTACTCTGCTTGTACCATGTCGATGTCTCAATGTCGTAAACATCGATAGTGTTCATCTGAGTCTAGATTCTGTTAGCATTCGCTCCCACATCCTTCATGTCAAACTTACGAAAGTAGCATTGTCACCACCAGTTAATCCAATCAAGAGACCTTCTTTTCCAAAGCCAGGAACATAGACGAGCGAACTATCCGCGCGCTCAGGGAACGAAGCCGTGTTCTGCAGTCCGCCATACGTGATGTTGCGCCAGACACCGTCCGAGCCAGCGGTCTTGCCATCTCCGAGCGACTCCACAGCATTGTTGCTCTGACCCGGGAACGTAAACTCCAGCAAGCTCTTCAAGTACAACCGCGGAGTCTGGATGCTCCAGCCTTCCGTCGTAAGGAAGTCCAAATGGCCAGCGAAGTAGAAGCCCCTGCCCAGCGTAGGAACAGTAAGACCCGCACCTTCAGCGACGCGTTGTACAGACTGACCAGCATCCTCTGCCTCTTCTCCACCAGCCGAGGTCTTCGGATCGGCGTGTTCGATCCACAGCTTGCCTCCAATGTTGTATTCCCAGACTGAGTTGTTTGAAGGGTCGGCCTGTGGGCTGTCGGAGAATTGGCCACCGTAGAGCCATAGCGAATCGTGCGATGCCCAGAGCTGACCGAGCGAAACAGCTGGTGGGCCTGTGGGCTTGGGGAGACCGGTCAGAGCGGGAGAGGCGACTTGCCAGGATTCGGTAAGATCGAGGGTGAGGAAGTCGTTGTCTGTATCATATTAGCATTGAATGCGCAGGATTGAGCTGCGTCTTGTAACGTACTCCATGTATCCTCTTTCTGTTGGCCGTCGGTCGTCCTGCGGAATCCGTACATGTACAGTGTTCCGTTGACGATGGCGCTTTGTCCGCTCCATCGCCTACACGCATCGGTCGGACTGTCTTCTCGTCTGACGAGCATCGAGCGTTCGGCATTAGCCTGGATCAAGTTCGCCGGGATCGCGCCACCCCGTACACCGACGTGTTTGAGGGGATTGAGTTGGATGATCGGTAGCATCAAGGCCAGTAGGACACTGAGAAGGCCGAATCGATACAGCTTCGTCGGAAGAAAGGATTGCGATGTGGTGGTCATACGCGACACGTTCTCGTTCGCCTCGTCCTCGTCGCAAACCGACTCCCAATCGTCTTCGTCGTCAGCCAACCTCTCTCCCTCCGCGCTGAAGATATCGTTCCGGCTCCTAAACCTCAGCATCTTGGCCGGCCTTAACCTCCTCAAACTCTCTCCATGTGTCGGCACCGGGCTCCTCTCCTCCATCATCTTATTCTCATCCACCAGTCCCACCTCCGTGAATATCGACATGCGGCGACCCTCGGGCCTTGTCGCGGGCTGTGGTCGGACTTGCTCCATTGCTTATTATCGGTACCAAACACGTGCGCCCAGCTGGTCGCGTGCACGTCGTGGGGTAAAAAAAAAGGGCCGTCAAACGTAAACGACCTCGGGAGTCGTGTTCGCAAAGGGTTCCTCGGGTCTCGTCAGGTGGAAGGAAGCCAGCGGGTAAATGGTCAAAATGACGTCGCAGTTCAGGAACAAGGTCGGCACCCTTGACCCGGTTCTATTCGACGAGCGACGAGGGAGAACGGGTTAACAGCCGGATACTATATGTGCCGGTACGCAGGATGCACGTTCGAGGGTGAGCGGGTGGCAAGGGCCCTGGGAGGAGGCGTAGGGTGCGGTGGACGCTGATTTGAGCGTGGCACAAACAGCCGGAATGACAATCAGCTAGGTGGAGCGAATGGATGTCACTGCAGAAGCGAGCGGGCGATGCGGATGCAGATGCAAAACGAGGGACGCGCAACCGAGAGTAACGCAACGGCTAGAACAACAGCAATAACAGACACAGCGGCGATGGAGTAAAGGATTACACTGGGTACAGTAAGATAGAAGGGGGGGAAATACGGGCACCCAAATGTGGAGTGCAGCAGTACGAACCCTAATCCTCCATCCTCCGCCAGCGGACAGCCGACCCTACCTCGGAGCGCTGAAAGCGAGGCCATCCTGTCCGTTTCGTCGCCTCGCCTTCGCGCCAAAGCCGTTGACTGGCCGCGGATAGACAAGCCAACGTCATGGAGGGTGCCGGTTAAGGGAATGATCAGAAATCGCGCGATTGGCCTCGCAACGTCGCAAGCCCCGGCCGCCTTTGGTTGTAGCAGGGACCACCTGACATAAGCCAAGACAGGTGGGTACTCGAACAGGGAACTGCCCACTGGAGTTTGTCAGCCTGCACGAGGTGTCACCATGTCTGTTGTGTCGTGACGATATGTTCGAGGGAGTTTGTGTGTGCACTCTACAAAGTGCTCTCTTTTCTCTGGAGATACTTGTGTTGACCAGATATCTATTACGACTTCACCACTCGGACGAAGTTTGCCCCGCGCCCACCGCCAACCCAACCCAATAGATCACACCACCCACTCACACCCGCAGACCGCGTCCATCCCAGCACCCTCCCACACATTCCATCGTACTCGGACCCTCTAAGCTCTCTAACACTCTTAGTCCCTTAACCATACGCCGTATGGGTCCCGGAGATTTCGATAGCTCGTGCAGCGTGCAGCTTGCGTCGTTAGCCTTTGTGCTCACCCATCCTCAGCCTCGTCCTTTCTACACCTGCATGCGGCTGTGGATCCACGTTTCGTGACCCTTAAAACCCTTCCTTCCTGTGTAATTCTATTTTGGGTTTTGCGCTGCACCTGGATCCGACTGTGGAATGTGTTGTGTTGTTTACCGTGCCTCGAGTGTATGTTGAGGCGTTGAGCGTGGCTGTGCGGCTCCGTAAACGCCGGATGTATCGACACAACGTTTACTTCGCCTTGCGTTGTTCGATGCTCGCTAGGCACAACCTTGAATGACCAAAATGCGCTATGCGCGATGCGCTACGATAACAATGGGGCAAAGTGAGATCTCGGGTGCCAACCGAGAGCGATGTGGCGAAGGGGCTTAGTGCGGGTGTTGGCTTCGTTCAGAGAGGTCACGATGGAGGAGGATACGGGGTGTGGGAGGAACGCTAGATATTGTGGTATGCTGCACTACGCGATGGTGTATATGTTTTTATATACTATGTACACGCGACAAATGCGTTACTCCAAGTACGTCCAATGCACTACTGTCGCTTGAAGCGCCTGAACGTGACCAGACCCAACGGCGGTATCAATTCATTTCCTATGAAAGGTCGTAGTACTCGTCAATCTGCTCTCCATGCTCACTGGAGATAAAATCCATAATGTCATCCACCGTCCCGTCCAGATCATCCTCATCCACTTCCTTGCAGTTGTCGCGGAGAAGTTGGATCAGCTGGTCCAATGCGGTTTGCAGTACTTGCGGAGTCCAAATGTACTTGCGCTCTTCTGCCACTTCTTCTGCGATCTTGTCCCAATTGAAGTCTCCGTCTTCTTCACGGTCATCGCGATGGTTTTGCAGGCTCGCGATCAGATCGTACTTGTCGCCCCATTGCATCTTGTCTCCAGTGGATAAAGTCTGTTTCGGACCATCTTGTTCAGTCGACATGACGCGAGGCTGTACCTCCTCACCGGGAAGCTCATCGTTCTCTGTTGGCGCTGAGACTTTACTGTCCTGCTCGGACTGGTCGTCGTCCGAGTCCTGTGACGAGCTGCTCGACACAACGCTGTGTTGATCTTCGTCGTCTTCGATTGGGTCGGCGTCCTCGATTGAGTCCTCGTTCTCCTGTTGTGCTTCATCGTTGCCGGCCGTCTGTGGTTGCTCTGGGGAGATGATCGGTGCGGTGCTGAAAGGTTCGTCTTCATCGGATGGCTCCTCAATCTCCTGCTCGGCGTCATCACCAGTTGTCGGTGATTGAGTACGATTCGAGTCCAGAGCTGGATCTATCAGAGCCGGATCGATTTGGGTTTCCTGCACAACTGGCTGGGTTTCCTCCACGACTCTGTCGACGCCTTCCACGGGCTCGGACTGATCCTCATCTGCAAGCTCCAGATCTGCTACTGACTCCTCGGAAACTTCGGGCTCGGTACGCGTCTCCGGTTCGTTCGATTCCAGAGTATCGCTCTTCTGGGGGCGTGCACGCTTCTTGGACGGCGACGAAGTCGCGGCTTGCTGGTCGACACCGGCGCCCTCATCCGAGTTCGCAATGACATCCCCTGACTCAGTCGGGCGGGGCATTTGATCCTCGTTGGCTTCGATACCCTCGCTTTTCCGTGGTCGTCCACGCTTCTTCTTCGGTGGCGAGACCTTCGATTGCTGATCGGCGTCAACCATCTCCTCATCTGAGTTCTCAATGACATCCCGCGTCTTGGTTGGGCGTGACTTCTCATCGTCGTCGGCGGCTTCTGTGACCTCGCTCTTCTTGGACTTTCTACGTTTCTTCTTCTTCGGTGGGCTGTCCGCTTCCTTGCTGGCTTGTCCTTCTTCGTCGGTGTTGTCAACAATCTCGTCGGTCTCTGCCGTGCGGAACTTCTTGGGCTTCTTCACCTCCGAGCCTTCGCTCTTCCTTGGCCGCTTGGCTTTCTTGGGCGGCGGCAAGGCCTGGGCTTCTTCATCATCCGAGTTGTCGATGACGTCCTGTGACTTGGCAGAGCGAGGATTGGGTTTGGGTGTTGCGCCAGCCTCTCCCTTTGGCCGTCCGCGCTTCTTGGGAGTAGGCTCGGGAATCGCAGATTTAGAAGCAGCAGGCTTCTCCTTCCTCGGCTTGCGTTCGACCTCAATCTCTGGCGGGGATTCGCGCTTCTGCAGATTCCTCCACTTCTGTACAACTTGGATCCGGCTTCGAGTGTTGTCCATCTCGCGGCTGACCTGCTGCCAGTTGATGTCTTTGATCGTGTATTCGTCCACGGGCGGTAGTCCTTCTTCGGCGCGGTGGTCTTCGTCTCGTTGAGCAACCGTTGTGACGGCGCGGATGAAGAGCTCCTCCTCTTCTTCGTCCCAGCGCGAAGACTTGAGCTTGTCACCATATTGCAAGTAGTCGCGCCACCTGTTTTGACAGTCGTGCATGGAGCGATCCCCCATGCCTACTGAAATGACCTTCCACTTGTTGGGGTGCATCCCGTAGAACTGTTTTAGCCGTTTGTCTTCCTCTTCTGTCCATACTCCCCTCTTGAACTGATGGTATGTCTGACGGATGTGTCTTCTCAGCCTGTCGTGCGAGCGTTCTGTGCGGAGGTGCTTGATGTCGTCCCAGAATTCGGCGCTTTCACGCGAGTCCTCGACGTCCTGCGGCGACCACTCGCTCTTTGACGATATAGTTCCATCTCCAGTGTTGAAGCTGGGGTCAGTTGGATTCCATTGTATGATGTCCACAAGCTCAGACACCTCCAAGCCTTTCCTCTGTTGGTAGTCTACAATAGCTCGACGGATGAGCTCTTCCTCGTCTGCGGTGAAGTCACCGGCGCTTCGTAGATCAGGTGGATGTTGTAGGTCGTGCTCGGTATTCAATGCTCTCTCTGCCGCGGTACCAGATGGAGGATCTTTCCAGGTGAAGCTGTATCGACCGCTCTCCCGCCTTGGTTTTGCTTTCCTCGCAGATGACCGCCTCTTCTTTGTCTTCTTCTTCTCTTTGAAATCGCTGTGGTCATCACCGGACGGTGGACCAACGTCTGCCTCGTCACTGGAGACGGGCTCTCGCATGATGCTGTCCTCGTCTTCTGCTTCGCCCGACGGCTGAGCAGGCGTGCGAACCGGAGTAGGCTGGTTGTTGATAATGTCCTTGTTCTTCTTGGTCTTCTTCAAACTGAGACGCGGCTTAGGCGTAGCTGTCTGCGCGCTGCTTGCCTCTCCGTTCGTGGGACGCGGATCGTCGTCGGGGATCTCGTAGAGGTTTCTCGATTTCGCGACGGGGGTTTGCGGCTTCTTGATTCGTTTTAGTTTCGACTTCTGGACGGTCCGTGGTTGCTCGGCGTCCTCGTCTTCCCCGCCTCCAATAAGGTCTCGAAGTGTAGTCAGCGACTTTGGCGTACCAATCTTCCGCCGCTTAGCCGATGAGGGTGTTCCATCAGCGCCCACTGCAGCAGCTTTGCGTGTATGTGCGTCGTTCGACTCCGGCGCGTCCACTTCTTGAGCGCGCTTGTTTCTCGATGCCGTATGCGACGGCGAGGCTGCCTGGTCTGCCATCATGGTCGTGTCTCCGTCCTGGTCTATATCGCCGTCTTGCATAGCGTCGCTGATAGCCCGATCGCGCTTGGACTGCTTGCTCTGCTTGTATGTGCGTTTGCCTTTGGTTGCGCTGGACGGGATGACGTGGCTGGACATGGGCGAAGAGGCAGTCGGTTGCGCGGGTCGCCCGGGAATTTGAGAGTCAGGTACCTCGACTGCGGTCGAGTGGGTGAGAGCATCGGCAGCAGGCGACTCGGGCTCTGGTTGCGTCGCGGGAAAGGGAAAAGGAGATGACGCTGGAACGTCGTTCTGGGCGAGCATGCCTTTGGCTGGAGGAGTCGCGACACTCTTCTTCGTCAGACCGAGTGCGCTGTTTCGCTTGCGCTTCTTCTGGATGAGAGGAGAGGCGTCCTGGCTGCCGTCGACCTGGGAGAGGGTGCCAATGGAGCCGGCGGCGCCGATGCGCGTGCCCTTTTCGCTCATGAGTTGCTCTGACGCGGCGACGTCATCCATATCTGGGTCTGCCACTCCAATGCGTTAGTCGTGGCTCTGGGCGGGAAGGTGAAGGTCGATGGAGCGAAAAAGTGCCCATTAAAACGCGTCGAGGCCGTCTACTCACTAAAGTGGGACCTGGGCGCCGTGGCGGGGGAAGCTACCGTCGCGGCCTCGCGTTTTGGGGAAGGAACGGGCTGAGAAGAGGAAGTACCCATCCTTCTCCTCAGATCGCTGAAGATGGCATACCCAGGGCTGGATTCGAGCATTGGCGTCGTGATAGCCTTCTGCAGTCGCGAACTTTGTCGATAACTCCAAAAAATTGACGTGTCGCGCTGCGCGAGAGACGTTTCTGGTCCCTGACTAGCCAAACCCGGGCTAGACTATCTCCGACCCCGGCTCACTGATACCCAGCGGTCATCCCCACTCCCCGCTCACTCCTATCGTCCTGACGCATCCCAAACCAGAAGGCAGGTCATAGCTACTATATCGCTAGCACCTTTTCCCACGGCCTCGCAACTGCTGCATCGACTGCACTATACGCCCAAAGCCATGTCATGGCAGGATCCGCTCGAACATGATGAGAGACGGACTACTGAAGCGCGTTGAGGTCGAGACCAAAACGCGGATTCAATTCATCCGTCACATATGCGATTCGATAACGCTCTGGTTTCCGTTGCTTGCGCAGTAGTGGAACTCGTGAACCTGGGGGCCACTCATCTAATGTGACTTGTCGATAGCATGCCTATGAAGGGCACTGAGCAATCCGAGAAAGACCCAAGACTACTGTCATAACTATTGAGTAATCAAGATATATGTTTGTGGATTGCTCCTCAAGTTCATGCAGCATCCTCTCACTCAGTCCGTCACGTCCTCTCACTCCATTGCACAGTTCTTCCATGTGCCCATTCATTGACACTACTTGTCGATCAGCCTATTTCCATTCCTGCTTTCACTCACAATCATAACGAGTCCCGACAACGTTAGGCCTCACTGTTCATCGCACACCCAATCGGCCACATCAATCCTTAACATCGACTTACCGGGTTGCCAGCAGAATAGACGTGCCATATCCCATCTTCTTTCAAGCTCTTCAAGATGGGTCAGCAACGAAAGCAGAAGGAGGCTCACCATACCGAACGGCAAGCCGTACTGTTGGGCCTGGACGCAAAGATTGGCGGTCTTGACGTCGATATCGCCAATCTGATGGCAGAACAGCACACATTGAAACGCGCTCGGCAGTACGTTCTGTCGACACACGAAAAGGCATCAGATAGCTCAAACAACAACAACACTACTCCAGCAAACTCAGCCTCCAAGTTCCTTATGAGTTTTACATACCCTTTGCATTCTCTTGCAGCAAAGAAAGCACGGTCATGTCTCCGCCAGGAAGTCCTGATCCGCAATGCCATGGAGCGGGAAAAGAGTTCGTCGCCTCCGGGATCTGTTGGTTTGCTATCGAGCGACGAGTTCGAGGCTTCCTTTCCTGAACATAACGTACACGAAGGCAACAGAGACATCAACCGCGTCGGTAGTGGCGCTGACAATGGCGTTGGAGATGATGTAAGGATGTCTATCGAAGGCATGTCTTCTTCAATAGCAGAGAACCACTATGCACCCTTTGGTACTACACTAGCCAGAGCGATCCCACGCAGCAACACTCCTTCTCCGGATAGTGAGACAAGCGCGTTCAATATATCATCTCGCAATGGTCAAGGCGCTCATTGGCAGGCAAAACGCATTACCAAACGCAAGTTGCAGGAGAATGCGGCCAAAGCCCGAGAAGTGCGGAGGAAAAACATGGAAGAAGCAAAATCATCAGCAGTAGGTAAATAAGACCTTGGTGCATGAGACCAAAAAGTGTTATGCGTGTGAAGGGGTCTGGAGTCAGGCTTGAGTTCGGCGTTGTTGTCACGAAGGAAAAGTTTGGATAGGATTGGTGTTAAGGTGTTAATTGTAGTCACGACATGAACAAAAGCTGCCCTTTGTCCTCTTCATCATGTTTACGGTCATCATGATATTTCAAATATTACCAAATTGTTCACAGACGTTTCCTTATGATCCTCCCTCAAATTTGAAACAACAACCAACGCTGAGCGTGCAGGAGAATTTATCTCCAACATTCGTATATCCTCCAATTCGAGCAAATCTAGCCACACACACCCTCGATATCCCACACGATCTCATCGGCTCATTTATCCTGTCATTCTTGCCCGAAATAGTTTATCACGGTATTCTGGCTATTGATAGTGCGATGTGATATGCTGAAGGCCTGAAGGGTTGAAGTTGGTAGTGTGTAGGGGCTTGGAGTATGAATTTTCACTCCGCGGTGGTGGATGATGCGACACAAGAACGTCATTATGGCTTTGAGGAACTTGTCAAATTCGAATTCTCTCAACTGAACATCGTGCTTCTGGGTCGCGCATGTGATCAGTTGTTATGTCCTTTGCTGAAAGTCTCACGCATCTTTGTTGCTGACAGTTTGGCGTGGGCCTTGGAAAAAGCGGCAGCAGCCTTGCCGCACGCGAAGACAATTCTACGGACGCCCGCCTCGCTGTGCGCAAACACTGGCAAGCCATGCATTTGATGATTTGATTACTGTAAACTTGGACGCGCTCAAGAGAGAACCCATCACGATGACATTCAATGTTACACGCATCGCTCTGGGCACTCGTGCCTTCCTTATGGACGCCGCAGATGAGGGCCGGAAAGCGCGACGCGATGCGACAAGAGCTCCCACCGCCTCAACGCCGCCATCCCAACCAACATCTCAGAATTTCTTCCTCAACCGACGAGCAAGCCCATCTTGTCAATGAAAAAAAAAGGTAACCTGTCAGATTGCCATCAACGTCCTGCCTCCCAGCGCAACACGAAGTCGCAAACCAGTCAGCTGAAGATCATCGCCACGCACGCCGAAGCATCCGTAAAAAAAAGCCTCACTCCGGGACATCGAGGCTGATAGTCATCAACCAGGGTGGAGATTCTGTGGCTACTTAGAGTAACTCAGAAGAGGATGCATACTATTAGAAATGATTCTATGAAGTATGATCGACATGATGAGCAGAAGGAGGGACGGAGGGAGGGCGGTTTATATAGGTAGAGGGAGGGGTGCAAGGGCCAGGGGGCACGTGATGCGTAGGCGGTTATTGGGAGAAGGGTTTTTCACAAGATCCACTGTGCAGGGCCGATGTTGGCCGGAAGGGCCTATCGTGGGGGCTGGGAGTGAAATTTCTGAGGGTGGGTGTTCGGTGTGGGATCATAGCGTTCGGCGTGCCGTGTGCCTGCGGGCGGGTTTTACCACTGTGACGCGTGTGAATGGTCGTTGTGTCGGTTTTGCGGAGACTTGTACCACGGCGAAAATGGCGGTCGAATCAGGAGCGGTCAGGGGCGGTGGATAGCCGGCGGGTCGCGGTCTTTGAAGCGTTTGCGCATGACGAAAACACGAAAAGAAGACGAGAACATCGCTGGATCGGATCGCTTCGACTTGCGGATATTGAGCACGATGGCAACGAGCAACATTGTGTGCCTGGGTCGATGAGCTATCATTTGATCATGTCTCGTCGCGATATGACCCCGGTGTTGGCCGCCTACTGTCAATTGCAAGTCCTTTACGCCTGCTCAAAAGGCTACTTCCAAACGCTTGAGCTACTCCATCACTACAATACTATGGAACAAACATCACTTGGACAGTGAACAGTGATCCGAAATGGTTGTTTTTTCCTGTTTATCGCATGTTATGTCTCCAGACCCTTGGTTGCAACTGCTGCGACGTTCAGCCTCACCTATCCCTCGTCCCCGCTAAAGATTGCAGTGCACGCGGATTCTGCAGGAGTGATGCACCGCATTTGGTTCCAACCGTACGACCGGTCAACCAGCAGTCTAAGCAAGAGATGGTTAACCACCTCTTCCATTTCTGCGCTTCCCAGACTTCCGGTCGACCTTGGGTGCCTCCTCATCCTCCTCACTGTCCTCCACAACCAGCTTCGGCCCCACGGTCCTCCCATCAAACCGCTGGCGTCGCTCACTGATATGCACATCCACCTCCCTCCCCCGCTTCCTATACCCCTTCACAAGCCACTCGCCAAACCTATACAGACAAGCCAACCGCCCCTCTCCTCCCTGGAGATGATTCACACCTTCAAGATACACTTTTTTAACCCCGCGATGCTCAAGCATCGGTCTGAATCCGAAGGCATCCAGGAAATCTTCTAGATCGCGAGGTCTCTGGTATTGTGTATACGCTCTATCGACGAGCTGGATCCAGTGGAACGACATGGCGATGGTATCGAGCTGGGTGCACTTGAGCATTAGAGGGATGTCGAGGTTGCCGTCGATATCATAGTTGGCCCGGGTATACGGTATGTACTTTACGTGGGGGAAGTTGATGCGCTTGATGGCTGCGAATCCCTGGGTGGTAGCTACGCCATCAATGGTGACCGCGGGGAACGTGGAAAGGAAGTCTGCAAACCAACGGGTGATCTTGAACGGCTTCTTGGGATCGTATTTGAAGTCGAACCACTCGGTTGTCGAGAGCATGAAGAGGGTGACTTCGCTCAGGAGCTGCTTGTTCGTGAACGCGAGAGCAGGGAGCCACGGCGCGACTTTCGCGGTTGTCAGCTCGTCGCCAGCATTTCGATCGCAGATGATGAGGTCGTCTGGCCAGCGCCAGGTGCAACATGGGTTATTGTAATTGTCCACATGGAGATGATTTGCTAGACTCGAGGTGTTGCGCGCATTCTCCAGGTAGGCTTCAAAGACGTCGCAACAAGGCTTGCGGTATCTGAGGTGGCCATGATCCGCCAGCGTGGAGTCATTGTGCGCTGTCTCTAGGTGCAAGTACGCTGCGAAGATCTTGAGACGTAGCTCGGCGGGTAAAAGAAGGAACTTGGTGAATTGTGGCTCATGGACGGATGCCGCTTCATGACTGGCGACTTCGGGGATGGAGGTGGCCTCCGTCATTGTCGCGTTGCGAAGTGTCTACTACTTCCGTACTTTCGAGTAGTCGGTGACTGTCATGATAGCATGGAGGCCTTGATCTCCCCGCGCGGGTTGCCTGACGCCCTGCTTGGATGCCAGGATTACATACCTACGTCACGTGATACCTTCATCTCCGCAGACATCCTTTACCTAGGTAAATTCACTTAAGCTACTTCCACGCCCTGATGCCTAGACTAAAGCTGTTGGCGCACGGTCTCTGTAAGTATACTTTTAAGCGCATGTAAGTTAACTGCATTGTTCACGCTTACCGCCGCAGTGTGTCAACCCGTTAGTCCCTGCCAACTCTCACAGAACTTGATCTTGACGAATCAAAATGTCGAACTACATCGGTTCTACAGTACCAGTATGTCTCGAGGATTAGAACGCTCGAGGCTTTAACTAAGCAAGCACTTCAGGTCAACATGCCCAGGGAGAACGCGCACCTTGTCGACGAAGCCACAGCCTTTGAGGCTTTCACCCAATACACGGAAATCTCTGCAGAGGAAGAGTTCACCAGGATATCGGCAGCGTGCGTTGCATACCTCGAAGACGACCGCAAATTTAGTTTCGAGGCTTTCGTACCGGACTGTCATCTGTATGTTTTGAAGACTCTGAAGCTACTTTACAAACACGAGGGCCATGTGTCGATTTGCGATGCTGTCTTTTTCGACATGGCAGGCTGGTATGACGCATTCAGGGTTCCGTATTTTCACGAGCATCAGTATCATTGCTGGTACGGTTGCTGTTATGTGGGCAAAGATACGACCAATATCCTTGTATCGCGCGACGTCCCGACCGCGGTAACATATATGCACCAAACTACGAATGGCCTGGTACCGATCGAGCAGCTGGCATTCTGTGATCTCGCAGAGGTCGCAACGGAGTATTTGGCTTTCACCAACGATTTCGATATATGGCCAGACGAGAAGGTGGCTGCTTTTCGGGAGTTCTCAGGTCCTGTCGTCGAGTGGCTCCACTATGAGAACGGCATTGAGCGAATCGAGTGGACGGCTTTTAAGGACGTCGCTGCAGCAGTAACGGGATATCTATCCTATGAGCCGCCACCATACTTCCCTCACTTCTTACAACTTCCGGCTGAACTTCGAAAGATAGTTTACCATTACTATCTTCTCGAACATGGAACTGTATGGCCGGATTCGCACAACCCTCACACGGATGATTGGGATATTTCTCAAGAATGGAATTGTTGTGTATGGCACTACCCAACCTCTTTGAAGCTTTGCAACAAGAGCGAGAGGACTTTGTTCCCAAACCCGCGACATTGCAACTATTGGTCACGTTCGCTCCCTGCTTTAGCCTCCACATGCGGACAGTTGCAGGGCGAGGTCGTTGTCTACATGCTTGAGCGCACGCAGTGGATCTTTCTCAACTTTGAGGCGGGTGACGAAAACTACGACGGTGGCTCGTGGGTTCACAACGAATTGACCGCAATCCCTCATGGTGATGGTTTGCTGGCGGTAAAGAACCTAGTCATTCGTCTTGGAGACGTGTCTCACCTCTCTCAGGCGTCATTCGTTCCAAAAAGCCCCATGGTAGAGCTTGCAGTTGCCTGCGTCTTCCTCCGAGAGATTCAATTGACTGTGCCTACCCGAGAGCTGTTTAGCATTAATTTCCGAACAGGCCTGCGTACTCTACGGTCTGTAGATACGCTGATAGACCTATTCGCACTCCGACCTCTGCTCAATTGTGAGCGCTTGTGCCGGGTCCGCATTAACTGCGTAGACAGATATCTTATAACTTGTTATCCTCGGTGTGGATTGGACGCGATTTTCAGTTTAGGGAAGTGGTTGATGATGGGCTTTTTGGTTCAGCAAGAGCGGCGAGTTCAGGTGATTGTCACCGATCTCCACGACGGCCGGCCTTCAGAAACAGTCGTCACTCTAGATGAGGCAGATGAGAAAGAGGTGGATGAGTGGCCCAAGGCGAAGAAAGCTAAGGCCTCCCTCAAGCGGACAGGAGCGCGACGAGAGCTCAGCATTTTTCCATCCTTTTTGCATGAGAAAGGGTAGAAAGGCATTGCTAAGAGCAACCTTGGAAGTCACAGCGGACTGGCCTAAATACTTACAACATCTCATCAGTAGCTAAAGACACCAAAAAGGACTTAATGGATGCAAAATTGCTGCACTAAGCTCGTTACCATCCCAGAATGCGCCTACATAACACAAACCTGCCTACTCAAGGCTCTTAGCGTCCCTCTCCCACTCCCACTCATCTTCATTTTTCCAATAATTAGTACCACTCTTCCTAAACCCCATCTTCTCCAACACTCTTCCACTTCTCGCATTGGGCTTTTCCGTCTCAGCGATGAACCTCCTTACACCCTTCTGCGCCGCCGCCCACTGCATGACTGCTTCCGCGGCCTCGCGAGCTACACCCTGACCCCAGTATGCCGGCGCAACACCGTAGAGCATTTCAACCATCTCTTCCCACGGTGGTAGTGAATCGTCAGAATCGTCGCGCGGAGGAAGAGAAGTTGTCGTTGCATCCCGGACGCCTGCATAGCCTAGCCATTCGATTGCGCCTAGTGTTTGGCATACGTTGTCCATCTCTTCTCCATCAATGATCCTGACTTTCTCGCTCGCATCTTTCAAATACCGACCCATTGCATGGTCAGACCACTCTTTCGGTCGCCAGCCAACTGCAAAAGTGCCCAATCCTCTCTTCTCCCAACACTGCGCAATATCTCGTGTAGCGATCGAACTGTGCATTTCTTCTTGCGTGCGCTTCACTACGGGGAACTTATCGCCAAAGCCCATCTCGCAGAAAGCCGTGTCGGCGAGGAGATTTGCGAAAAGAGTGACATAAGCCGGTATTGAGATAGCCAATGGCGTGGGTACAATGATGAGTCGAGGTGTGACGAGGGCGAACCGCGAAAACGGTGTTGAGGATTGTTGGAAAGTCATCTTGAGGTGTGCCGGGATTGATGAGATGCATGAACAGTCTTGCGGATACTTGTACACTTGGAAAGATGATAGAAGAGATGACTCGGAGGGTCTTCCGCCGCAAGAAGAAACCACTAAGTGTAATCCAGCCTAGCGCAATATGACTCAAAATGATGGAGAAGCACCGGGTCACCTCATACAAGGGAAAACCTGAACAGGTCTGCAGACTACATTAACATGACTACATGCAAAGTGGGTGTGCTAACATCGATGTAGACCCCAGGGGGTTCACTTTTTCCCTAGGTTGACGTGGGATGATATCCTTACCATCTAATCTAGGCTATCTTGTTCGCCTTCATTGGCTCGATTTGAAACGGCGAGAAATGCTTCCCGCGCATACTGTCCCAACTCTCAACCAACGCTTCACATCTCCGCCAGCTGTTGTCCACAACCTTCTCATGTTCTTCAACAGTCCTTTGCACCCAGCCATCCCTCTCATCTGCCACCATGACCACTTCGTCGCCTTTGCCGGTATATTTGTATTCTTTCCACGGTGTTTCTCCATTCGCGAAGCTGTTCCAGGTCCGTGCGTGTTGGGTGGAGATAGCCTTGAGTCTTTGTGACGGGTAGCGGAATTGGTACGTTTTAAACACGTAGTAGACGTCGACCCAGTGATGCGCTTGCTGCCAGAAGGGACTGGTGGCAAAAGGATTCCGGACATCGAAGACGTAGCGATAAACCTTCTTGTTTGTGTGCTGGGTGAGATATTGTGCTAAGTGGTGAGTCGGCGCTATAGTTATTAGCTATGCACACTGCACAATGAGGAATGTCTCACCATCGAAAACGACGTCGCCTACCCAACGTGCGCCTGCGGTTATGAACACATTCTTGTCCATTTCCGGCGAGATGCCGTAAGCTCGCTCGACGAGGCCCGCGCTTTTCTCGCCTAACTGCTTTGCGATGCCTTTGAGGAAAGCGTCCGGGCTGACAGCAGTAATTGCTGACATCAACGTGACACCCTGTATGTCCGAGTAAGCTTCTCGGTTTGGACGTATAAATGAGAAGCATTGACTCACCTCAAATCCTGTGGTTCCCAGAATGATCTCGTTGACCCACTCACATTTGCCAAGCAACTCAGGAATGCGGTCCCAGGTCACAGAACCCGCTTCATCACCAAACCACTCTGGATCCTGAACCGAAAGCCACATATTACCAGCCGCTCGATGCGCGGCGGATGCTTCGACGATCTTTTGTACGTCCACCTGACGTAATTTCTCTAGACCTGCCTCGCCTTCTTCTTCAATCGCGACTCTTCGCAAGAAGCTGTTGTATGTCTCGCTTGCGCTTTCGGGTGATAGCGGTGCTGTCGTTGGCCCAATGATTCCGGACATGAGAATCGCTCTCTGGAACAGCGGACCCGAAGACGGAGGTTGGCGTAGCATGTGGGCGCAAATTGACATGGAGCCAGCGGACTCTCCAAACGCAGTAACCTTCTTCTTGTTCCCTCCAAAGCCCTCGATGAACTTTTGGATCCAGAGAAGCGCATTCCGTTGATCGTTCAGTGCGAGATTTGCATTTCCAGCCTCCGGAGTATGTAGATAGCCAAGCGCCCCCAAACGATATTGTATGCTCGTGGAGATGATGGGTTGGCCATCAAGGATCGACTGCTCGACCATGAGAGATGTGTTGTGCTGCTCGTCAATCTTTCCGAGCACGAAGCCTCCCCCATGGATGTAGACCGATACAGGGAGTCTTGAGGAGGATGGCTGCTGCTTGAGGCACGAAAGCGGTACGTTCACCTGAAGGATAGCACATTTCAACTCGTCCGTTAAGTGTGGAAACTTTTCGCCAGGGAAGTTACCGCCGCCGACCGCGTCAATATTAAAGACTTGAGGGCATGCATAGCTGAGGGCATTAGCTTCTCTTCCGAGGGAAGCAGCAGGGTAAGTCATACCGGTGTTCCGTGAAGTCTTTTTTGCCCGCAAGCGTATCTGAGAGAACAGACTGCTTGAAGCGAGCGGGAATGGTGGCGTATGGCACGGCGCGAAACTGAACAACGTTGTCGGGCGTGACGATGCCTGTCATGGGACCTAGGTCGGCATGGTGATATGTGAAGGTCTGCGGTGCCTGGTGTTCTGAAGCCATGATATCTGTTCGGTGGTTCTGTCACGCTGTCGAGGAACCGCAAGAACAGGCACGATATATATAAGATACCAGCGGTGTACGCAGACGACGCGGGGAAGAATACCATTTCTAGACAGCCTTGTATCTACCGGGAAGTGGGGACCAGGCCCGCCGAACCGGTCGGACGCGCAAGAAACATCCGATCCGCTTACAGAAATGCTCATTATTGATGCCTACAATGCTGCCTTGAGCCCCGTGATGCGCAAATTCCAGGATGGGTGGTGTGTCTGACAACGGGCAAAATGCGCATATCTTGCAGTTGTAGTAGCTGGGACGTGCGATAGGTAAGGCCGCCGCTTGATATTGTGACTGCAAGTAAGCTTCAGCACTTCGGACTCAGAATGACTGCCGAGACACATCTTTGTTGGAGTAGCGGCGGGGTTATTCGTCGGCACATCAACGCGCGAGACCGATGATAAACGGTTGTAATAGAGCGCCGAGAAGCGAGCCAATCAAGTTGCTACGAGCGTGTAAACGTCTCATCTCGCGATATATTGTATAACAAAGCTGTTGTTGCCTGTCCGGCGTTCGAGCGGTGGTGACGGTGATGACGTGAAGGACTGCAGGAAGAATGGCCGGAGGTCGGTGTTTGCGCTAGCTCGAATGAGTGCTAGCTGGCTTTTTCATTTCCAGACGCGTCGCGAAGCCTTCGAAGGTTAGACGCGTCCCATCGACGCGTCTGGCCTTCGCGACTAGCAGCGATGTTTAACAGCAGAAACGTAATTTTATGATTCAAGAACGGTACCTAGCGACAAGGTGGCTAGTACCCGCAGGAGAACTCGACAAGTGGACGCCACGACCCAGCCACAAAACTCTGCACGCCTCATTCGTACCTTGTCGTCTTGCCATGCACCGGCCTTGAACAACAATACTGCACTGCAATACCGCACGCTGACGTCGAAGCTCCATGAAAGGCACACCAGAAGTCGAATTCGAAAGATTGAACGCCTCTACTGTCAATGTCTCGCTCCCGCGCCTACCCAGGTGACATCCACACCGCAAGATTACGAAAGGGCAACCTCCGCACGTATGTAGTGTAAGCTGGTCCGACTACTATGTCGTGACGACTGCAGATCTACTCTACTGTGATCCCAAGCGCTTACCTTCGATGTTTGTCATGTTTTACAGCTCAGCCCTTTTCTTGGTTTTCGCTGCATCTTCTCTCTTCGCTCAGGCCGCTGCAGAATGTACTCGGTTCTCTACCAATGGTTCGACAGCAGCAACATACGGCTTCCATCGCTTCTACGACTTTAGGCAGCTTCATGATGACATCGATGGCGATGCGGCTTCTGCCTCGTCTTACGGAGAGGATCACACGGACACGGAAGCAGCCAGCGGCCAGTCTAAGATCATTCAGGCTGCTCCCTGGGTTTCGGGCTGGAATGCAAGAGATTGGTATAGGCCGTCGCCAAGGGACGATACAGTGGATATGTACTATAAACCATCTCGTGTATCAATAAGTAAGCTGGAGTCCTGCTTTCTCCGCTTCAACCGACTGCTAACCACCCATAGGCAAGAATACCGACGCGTCGCAGGATACTACCTATCTTACCTTGCACACGACAAGACTCTCCGATGGAAGCCAGGTGGCCGCTGAACTAGACTTTGCGGAATACAATGTCACCTACGCCTCTATCCGCATGTCCGCACGCATCAATGGAGCCAGCGGCGCAGTTGCGGCTTTCTTCACGTACCACGATGACACCAACGAGTCCGACATAGAGATACCGACCGGGCCCAAGGCTGACGAAGTGCACTACTCCAACCAGCCGACCGCAGACCCCGACACTGATGTACCCATCGACGGCGCAACATTTAATGTCTCAATGGAGGATTACCAACCTACCTCGGACTGGAACAACTACAGGCTCGACTGGGTACCCGGGAAAAGCGCGTGGTACATGAATGGTGCGCAATCAGCTGATACGGAAGTCAACGTACCAGATGCAGAGAGCATGATCATCTTGAGTCTATGGAGTAACGGAGGCACGTTTTCTGGCCGTATGAATACCGGCGAAGAGGCCTGGTTCGATATCCAATGGGTCGAGCTGCTCTTCAACACAAGTGCTAGCACTAGCACCGATCCCGACGGGACAGTATGCTCGGTGGAGTCATCGCCAGGCTCGCCGGTACCCAGTGCCTCGCGTAGCATTCAAGATCTGGTTGCTGGGCGTATTTGGTGGGCTATTAGCATGGCGTCAGCTGTTAGCTTCCTGGTGTTCGTATAGCGGTCCTCGGCAAGCGGAAGTTGGATATTACCGTCTTCATATCGGACGCTGATCAGAAGCCGTAGGGACCTTCGCCCAAAAGAGCGTTTCTACAATATATGGGATGAAGCTACACGTCAAGGCTTGGTATTCCGCATGTGTTGGCGGGTTATCGCGCCGTGGACGAGCACCGTGGTCGTATTGTCGGCGTGAGGTCGTGTGTTGAGCGTCGTACGAACGAGCTGCTGTCGCAATGGTTCTAGATCCACCTGCATTGAATGCGCAGCCATAAAAAGGCTTGTCGTCATATTGAGACGTTTGAGGCGAGTGCATGGTTTGTTGTCGTCGATGAAGGGTGTTCGTATGCGTCGCGTGGCAGAGCTGCTTAGCTCGCTCATGTGATTCACTGCCTAGATCGCTCATTGGACACCTTACCTTTAGTCACCACATGTCACTTGAACGTGTGAATTCTGACAGCTGGGATAGCCGTTCCATGTGTATATAGTATGTATCTTGAGTAATTGTAATCCGCTCGTCGCAGATGGGTCATCGTGAACGAACCATGACGTATTCACCACGCTAACCAGAACCGCAGTTTCCAATTCCCCAGACACGCGCCCGCACCCCGCAAAGACGTCATCCTTCCATGCAACTCTGATGAAACGCGTTCTCATGCAGTCCATGGCGCACGTACTGCTTTTTCCATCTTCTTCAGTCGACGCTCATCCCCCGGAGATGGCTCCGCTGAATCGATGACGCATCATCTCGCGCGCATTGACGATAACCTTGGAACCTGATGTTGGCCTAGCACCGAATGTCTAAATATCATGGGAGATGGAAACAAACTACCAATCATTCCTCCACACTCAGTACACCTAGTATACACATCTATGTGATTCAATATGCCGCTACTTCGCTTTACAAAGCCGCGAGTCGCCTCAGCTACAGGCACTATACACGGCTCGAAATGTTCTCGTAGCGCTAGGCCTCATCCACTGCGGAATGGCGCCCAGAGCAGGCAGTATGCCAGCGAGCCCATCATTCCCAAGGTGCAGAATAGCGATTTCACATTGTACGTTTTGATGCCACCGCAACTCTCATCCCGATCCTCCTATAACGTGTATCCTCTAGTAAGTTCGCAGGTGTAGCCATGGCCTTCACCGGCGGTCTTTACTTCGCTATAAATTCAGATCTGCATCCCTCGTCGAAGCAGAACCTCGCGGCCAATCTCCAGCCGCATCCCACCATGCCAGGCAAGATGGCTGGCGAGAACGAGGAAAACATGCGCAGCCACAAGATCACTATGAAAGGCGATCCCAGCGCACCCGGTGCCGGCAGGCCGGACCCCAATGAAGAGTTGGGCCCGAAGGCTATGGGTCACGGGGCAGCACCTTCACATGTAGCCGACCCGGTTCGTACAAGATGTAACACTTTTTTCCGCTTCTTGATTGCTAAGTAACACCACAGGCTGATCCCCGCGGAAAGCCCAGGAGCTTCAACTACATGTCCGGAAAGCAAGAGGGTTTGTCTAATGGTGATACTCACCACAGCTCCCAGATTTCCAAGCAAGGGGAGATGAGTAAGAAGGGTGAGGGTGTTGCTGAGACTGCGAAGCTCAAGGGTACTGTGTCGACTAAGCGACCTGGTCCTGAGAATAAGGAACAGCGAGGCAAGGCTCAAATGGATGATGAGTAGCAATTTTCGTTGATCATCGCCCCTGGTATCATTTGATGGGGGGAAATGTAGTTAAGGGAGTAGCAAACTGTAGTCAGACAAACAGGCACTCCAATACCGTACCAGCGAAGACATCTCACTAGCCTGCATGACTACCTAGGTATCGCGCATTGTCAGATCACGTGTCGATTGCAACCCTTGGCTTCAATGTATCTCAACCTCGGTCCACACTGTCAGAGCAACCATGTTATTAGTTTTAAACTCCTACTCGTACAACCTGTGCCATGCCATGCCAACGCACACCGGTCTGCAGTTTGACCCAACCCCATCCCCAGATAACACCAGAAACCCATAGCAGATAGCCACCCAAGTTATTTTCAACTTTTTGTAAGGAGAAGTAGCTTTTCACATCCTACCAGAGGAGGAGCAGGAACAGCTTTTAACCGTTGTCGCCAGATTGAGGAAAGAAAGGAAAGGAAATATGGTACGCCGTGATCGCCATCGTGAGGTATCGTACAGGACATGAAGAAGTCGGAAGATGATAGGTGCAGCGCCGTGCAAATTATCCGAAGGAAAAGGGAAACATGGAATGAGGGGTTCAACCAGACGTGTCGTTCTTCAGCACGGCAGGTGGGGGAGCCTGGAGTGTGTCGGGTGATGGCGCTGTTGTCATCGAAGTGAATATGGGCGTTAACGTGGCTGTCGATGTCGATGCGGGCGTCGCAGTCGTCTCGGTGGCATCGACGCGTTCCTCTTGGGTCGTGGAAGGTTTCTCGGCCGCCTTCTCAGGCGTACCAGCATCATACTCTCCACCTCCAATCGTCGTCTTCTTCTCGCACCCCGTCTCAACATCAACAAACGTCTCCTCACTCCCACACCTCGGCAACTTCTTGCCGCTGTTCTCAGCAACGTATTCATCATACGTCTTGCCCGCCTTCTTAGCTTCCTTGCGCACATGCCTGACACGCCATAGCCAGACGGCTTGGCTGGCGAAGATGCCAGTCTCGAGGACCATGCAGGCGATGTATAGACTGGCACCGAGAGCATCGAACCATTGCTGCGCGACGACAGCCATGAGTGAGAAGAAGGCGCCGAGGTAGTCGATGGTGAGGAACCAGAAGTCGATGCCAATGACGCGGCCGTTGCGCTTGGCGAGCTCGAAGTAGGGCGGGATTAGGCCGATGACTTGGATTACGGAGGCGGAGATGGCCATTAGCATCATGGGCCATTCAACGCCGCGGCTGTATGGGCCCTGTACGGTATACTGTCAGTCGCTTTCGACAAAACGGAGATTTGGAACAGGTCGTTGACTTACGCGCAGTGTAAGAATGAGAATGAGTTCCATGATACCAAAGCTAGCTGCGAGAGCGATAGTCGCTAGAGTAGCTGTCCAGACCCGCCATTTGTTGTGGTAGTAGAGTGTTTGGCCCCATGCGATCAGGGTGAGACTGGCGAAAGCTTGGGGTTGGAATTTGAGGGCAAAGTTGAAGTTCTAATCGCAAGTAAATAAAAGAAAAGACGGAGTGCGCGGTGGGTGATGGCATACCTGAACAATCGCATATACACCGAACGGCACGCCGCCTGCATCCTGGGGTTAGCTGAGTCGACCGGGCTCGTTCATGTGGGGTGTCGCACAAATTGACCAGAGTATGAGCATGGTGCCTGGAAGGCCTTCTGTGCTCTTTCGCCGCCAGTTGGTCCATATTCTTCGGTAAAGTCAGCGAAGTGTCATTTGCGATACTGGTGCAGGTGACACTTACTGTGGGATGATTTGTATACACCAGCAGCTGCATTCGGACCTTTGTTAGCATTTGCTTCGTGGGGTCAAGGGCTTGACGTGGGGTTGCATACACTTTACTCAAGTTAGCATAGTCCTTAGCCACCAAACGTTCGGAGGTACTCACCAGTGCCGAGCGTCTAGAGAACGAGATCGTATGTCAGTATCATGACTCAAGTCAAAAACGTGGGTGGAGCAGAGAAACCTACACCAAGGATATTCGCAGCCTAGCGTTTGGGGTCAGTATGTTGGAGCAGTATATGATATTGATGGTACTACTCACGGGTGGTATCGAAACTTGCGGTCTGTCCATAGCTTTGGGGGAGTGTTCTCACGACGTCTTGGATGATAAGAAGTGGCGAAGAGGTGTAAAGCTCAGTGCGTGGGAAAGATGGGAGTGGTGGAACGAGAGGCCAGGTGAGACAAGATGTACGATTAAGAAGCCAACTAAAAGGAAGTGTAGAGATGTGAGTTTACGTGATCTGGTGGCGTTTCACGTCGCACCAGGTGTAGTATGTACTATCGCTCTGGTACCTGGTTCGAGTAAAGGAGGAAGAAGTAGCTAAACGACTTCACCAATGGTAGGATGAGGAAGCGGGAGGGTTGTACAAAAGAAAGTTTCCAACTAATGACAGAGCAGTCGGTTACGCCAGCACCGGCACCCAGGTGAAGGCGAAAGTGGTACCCGCTCACACCAGGCAACATGTTGTGCGTGATGACGGAACTGTCAGAGGGTCCCATTTTACTAGCTCTACCGCCGCAGTCGCGTGCAAGAATAAGTCGGCTGGTCATACCAGTGCACAATGGCCTTGGATAGAACGATTTAGACTAGGCAGCTAGTGAGATTTCAGCTTTCGGGGAAGTCATGCCCCTGCTCCCGGCGCTGAAGAGCGACTCCGTTCAGACTCGGTAAGAGGTGAGTGGCTGAGCTAGCGTATACAGGGATACTTTTCCTTCCCCAGCCGATCTGCAATCCGATTGGCGAGTCTAGACTTTTCGCTGAACGCATCTATCCTCATATGAGGAAATGGGTCCCACTCCATCTCGATGCAGACGTTGAAGGGGGTGGGTGACGAAACCCCCGGTATTGCATGCATACAAGGCTCGGTCGGATGCTGGGTCCCTGCATTGAGCGACGAAGAAAGAACACCTGGTGGCCACTTGGTAAACCCAATCGCTCACAGCCGGGACAATTCTGTAGACTACGGAGTAATGCACATCGAAGAGGGTAAAGTTAATCTGCATCCAATGAATAACCTTGTAGATGTATTTCCGGATGTGGTCGTGCGTAGACTACCGCCGCGCTCCAAGCGGCTCACGCGAACATCAATCCTGACTGGCCTCAAGGACAGTCCGTCAATCTTCGTTGTGATGAGGTGACTTCGATCCTCCGGTGAGCTCGGCGAGCGCGTGTCCGGCTACTGTGCATTCCTGCACACTGACGGACGTTCCTGAAAACTCTGAAGGTGGGTAGCTGACGTGCGGTTGGCGGCTGTGTTGAGACCTGCATCACCTGGCATTCCCGAACCACGCCGGTGGGACCCCGCCTGCATAAGATGGCGTCAACCGGATTTATGATTCGATCCAGTATACAGTACAACTGAATTCAGCTAGTAGGAGGCTCTGCTTTCCCCATCCGAGCGTGTGTCTAGTCCTCGGTTCCTGGCGCCTCGCAGCAGTCTGCAGTAGCTGATGATGAATAAGTGGTGGCCGACATGTAAGGTCAACTAGCCAGCTACTACACGCTCAACGCTGTTGCAGACGCGGCACAAAAGGAGTGCACATGCTGCTCTGCTCAGTAGCACAGCCGGGAAGGCGTGTCGCGAGGGACGATAGAGTTCGCAGCTTTCGCGGCAGCTGATAGGCAGTGGGTCGTTAGTAGCCAGCTGAACCGGCAAATCGCCGCCTCGGTCCCAAAGAATATTTTGAGTCATTGCGTCGACATCCGAGTACAATAACGACAGCCGCGCACTGCGCGGTTATGATGATAATGGTTGTACATCTCCAGCCGGATCAGGTCAAAAAGTGGAACCGTTGGGAAAAGGTGGGGTTAGGGGCGTGCGCCATGCACGCAAGCCAGAGAACCAAACGCTCTACCGATCGACGAACTTCGGTTCATACGTTTCATACACAAAGCTGTCGGTTATGTATGCCGGTCGAGAACACATTCTTTGCGCTGTATTCCGCGTGTACGAGGAGGAGATAACGCGTCGACTTTGTGTTGGCACTTCCTACGTGTGAAGGTTCCCCGCCGCCGTTGCCGCCACTTGGCTGTGGCGTTTATTCGATCCAGGACCACATGCAGGATATGTTCCTGGGACGGCATTGCATAATAGACCAGGACGTCTGCGTGTCTCACGCATCTGCACGCTTTCACCTCGCCTCAATGATACCATCTTCTGCGAAAACGAACGAAGGAATCCATATCGGGGCGATCTCCGGCATGATGCAGCGACGGTTAGCCATATTCGCATCGGCTGCACCCAGCTGTATTGATCACTGGCACCGAGACGTGGACGGATAGTTGCGCTTCGGCTTTGCTCCTGGACCCACACGAGATAGAGTACCGGCCGGGCGTACTCCGTTCGATGAAGCCAATGTCATCGAGCCACGAGTCTGACATCCTGACCATCCTGGGATCTGAACGGTGAAGAGACGCATAGAACATGGCGCGCAGAGTCGGCGACGTTCGGTATGCCGATGTCGCATACGAAGATGTGCAAGCGGACCGACACGGAAAGGGTCTGAATCCGGGTTGTTCATGTCTGGCTGAGGGATTTGTCAAAGATCATCAATCGTGAAGGCATCGTGGTCCGATACGCAAGGGAAGCATGAGAGGCCAGACCAGATGAATCTGGCGAGAAGCGGGCCGATATACCCACTGTGTGGGGAGTACGCCAGTGCCTGAAGCATCTTGGGATCTGAAGACGTATGTTCGGCCAAGTTTAGGCCGTTGACGTGATCAGGATCGACATGTTTAAACTGGCAGGAGATGGCTGGACGAGTATGACCCCGAGGCTTGCCTTAATCAATGTCGAAGCTCCGATGCGTGCGCACTTTCGCGTTCGCTTTGCCGCTGTGCCGTGGTTTTGTCAATCCGCGAAGCACCAGGGATAAAGCCAGTATAACGCTAATGGACGGCAGGCTAACCCCTGATTTATCCCCACCTTCAAATGTAAAAGCCATGAATCTCAGTAGATAGGGTGCCGTTCCGACGAGCACGGGCGACTCTTGATCGTTTAGT